TATTAATAAATTGCAGGTTTAAGGATTAGTTTTAAATTTTCGGGTTATTTAATCAGTAATGTATACAAATTGAATGCTTGTGTCGGTCCTGCTACACATGAGCGTCCATCCATATAGGCAAGAGGGGGCTCAAGCCCCCCCCCCCCCTTTGAGACCCTATCAGGGTGACCATACAGACTGAGAATTCTGGGTTTGCGTGAATTTTTAAATCAGGAACTATGTGCTACTTTTGTACTCACACAGGGAAAACCTGATTAAGGCTGCTGTCACGGTGGATTGCGATTGTCATCTGCGTGCGGACACAACAAGATCAAGAACATGTTAACTGCGGTCACTGAAAAATAGATAAATTCAAATCCAAAACATCTTGATTTTCCTTACATGTAGGCCTACAGGAGATCTTCAGTTGTCATGGCAAAATCATGAACGTCTTCCGAGGTCACGTCAAAATTGAGAACACTGTCACTAGTCACGGCAAGATGGAGAATATATTTCGCAGTCACAGTGAAATCATGAACATAATCAACGATCTCGGCGAAACCGTAACCATCTTCCGTGGCCACTGTAAAATAAAGAACATATTCTGCGGTCACGGCAAATTTGATATCATCTTCAGTAGTCTAGTCATAGTCAAATAATGAACTTCTTCCGCAGTCTGTCATCAACTACATCATCCTCGATCATGGTAAAATCGTATACATATTCGGTAGTCATTGTAAAATTGAGAACATCTTCAGTAGTCATAGTGAAATCATGAGCATTTCTGAGGTTTAAACAAATCTTGGACATTTACCGCTCTTGGACATGATCATCTCCAACAATCACGTTAAAATCGTCAATTTTTGTTCCTGCATCTTGCATCTTTTTGTAAATACTCTCAGCGGTCATCAAAAATTTGTGCGATCGGTTGGGCTCGACTCAATCCAAGCTTGGGCCGTCAATCATTTTCTGCCCGTACGAATCTCCCGTGCCAACCATTGGTCTGACCAAACCCGAAAATATGGAGTTACCGGACACTTAGAGGCGGTTCACGAGTACGGGGTTTCGTGGCCCGCGGTTATCGTTGATCTCGACCAATTTTAACCGACGGCCAAAAAATGGGTTCACGACATAGAGCGTTAGCCGAGATCAAGCTTAGCCGAGACCAACGCTGGCCGTCGATCAAGAGCAGGGATTAACGGGGAATTTTCGTTGGGAGGTTGGCAACAGCCACCTGCCGCGCCGCTGCTCGCGGTCGACGAGCCCCAAAACAAGAGGATGACATTGCGTCATAATGATTGGTTCATAAATTATTATAATTAAACAGAGTATTTACTGATATCGTATAAAAGGTTGTGGACTTGCACTTGAATTCATTATATACTAAAGTTTAAGGTTACTCAATTTATCATTGAATTATGAATAATACACTTTTACTGAATACATTGAATCGGGAAAATGCAATTATGTTTTTAAAAAAGTTTATACAAATCTTGGTAATGTTTGCAATAAAATTCGATTACCAATTATGTTCAAAAATAAGACATACTTTATCAGGTTTGCAGTTGTATCCAAACGTTCAAATTATTTAATAAAATGACTGCTCATTTCAAAGATTTATGAATATCTTTTATGTATCAGTAATTTGTATAAAAATAAATTTCTAGCAACAACTGGCTATTATAGGAGCAGAGATGCCTTCATACGTATACAGTAATAAACGTAAATATAAAATGGCAAACCTACAATAACATTTTATGACACCAAGATCTTTTAAATCGGTTCACAATTGGGGCTACAAACAGCACAGGCCTAAGAACTAAGCCCCTAAGAACATTTGCGCGCGCCAGACGGGCAGAGCGCAGCCCTAAGCATGAGAAAACAGGTTATAATTTAAAAAATATATTTTGTTGTAATACAACGTTTTGTATATTTAACTATATAATTTATCTTTTACCTCAGCAAATTGAAGCAATTTATTGTAAATCCCGATATGACAAATATTAAGACATTATCAGATGAAAAGGTCTTTCTTTAACAAATCTTAAATCATAAACATAATAATATAAACATATAATTTAAAACATACGAAATAAAATTTGGATACTTAAATAAAATGACCTATGTTTTATATGAATTTTATGGCGGAACAAAAATTGAACTAATTTTATACAATAAAAAATCTTAGACAAACCTAAAAGTGTGTGATGGAACAATTTTTATTTTGATATTATGATATTATTCAGCTTAAATAAAAGGATTCAAAATTGCTAAAATAAATATAAAGAATTTACAAAATAAGATTCGATTGCAATTTAAATTTATATGAATATGTTAAGCTATTAGTTATATTTTTACTTAGTAATAATTAATCAAAATGCCTCAACAGTTACTTTTTACGATGTTTTGCATGTTTTCGGCTATCAGTAGTAAAAAAATTTAAAAAATAAATATCATGTTGAGGGTAATGAAATTGTTCGGAATTTAATGCCGAATCCGAATATAACATTCTTTTTGCTAACAAAAAAACAATAAACGAGCAAATGAGATAATCCCGACATGATGTCACCTTGACCCTGCCCCCTAGCAGGGTTAAGTTGAAGACCAAAACCATTGTTATTTACGCTCGAGATTATCCAGTTTGCGCTAGACTATGACTCGTGAACCCGACATTTGGCCCGGGGTTTTCTCTAATTGAACCCGTGAAGCCGACTTTTTGCGCTCGGGTTTATCCCTGTCATAATTGGGTGAAGTTTATCTGTCTGCGCTCGAGCGCGGGTAACCTCGTACTCGTGAAGCCGATTTACAAGCCGCGGCCCAAAAAACCGGCTATAACTGGATTTTGCGCTCGAACTAAGGATAACCCGTGACTCGTGAACCGCCTCTTAGTAGAAGGTACACTTGGGGACTAGGAATCAAGACCGGGAAAACCAATTTTTTTTTGGGGGGGAAATCTGGAAAAAATAGGGGGTCTAGGAGTTCTGCCCAAATCAACCAATTTTTTTCAGATTGTGGAGTAAATTTTAACAGTTAAAATTATTCATATTATGCCATTCATATCATGTGACCACAGTAGTAATAAGCCTATTTAAATTTAAAAGACAAAGCAACAACATATAAATTGACATTTAAAGCAAATTAAAGTTTAAAAATAGTGTAAAAGCAAACTTTTTAGATCTAAATTTTAATCATATTTCTCAAGTAACTCCTAAGACCACTCTTTTTACTTGGGGTTTATTCCCAAGCTGATTTACAGCCAGTGCTGCCAACGTATTTAGCGTGCATACGAATAAGTGTGAAACCACGTAATTGAAAACATGCGGACCTTGTCTGCATGTTACGCACTCACTATTTCGTGCCTTCACATTGCAAATCTGGAGTGAGACAAAGTAATTAGAGTGAGACAATGTTAACATTGTCTCACTGATGAGTGAATTGGCCACTTTGCTTTCTCAAATCAGTGAGAGAACATGTTCATTGTTAGGTAACTGTAGGAAAAGATATTTTTTGGACTCAACGGCACTCAGTGCATTGGCCGTTCCCAGTCCTGGTTGTGGCTTTTCAATTGAAAATCAAATCAGGCAAATGGAAATTCACTTAGTCTGCAGGTTTGCTGCGGTGGGGGTATTGATACTTGTATCCTCATTAATTGATAGCCCAATGATAGCTGGTGTTATCTGGGTCCAGAATTGGCCTTGCTAATCCAAACACAGTTTCTTATCCACTGTTAGCTATGTAATAAAATACATGATAATTCACTTGTTACCTATAAAGCTACGCTGGCTGAATTTCTGAAACAGTCTTACTTCTGGAATTATAATAGGTCTAGTCCATCTGTGCTTACACAAGTGGTCTTAATTAGTGATAACTATTACTCTCATTTCAAACTTACTAAATGACACAAAACATATATTACTTTTGCATATACAGTAGGTTTACATTATACTTTTATATAACACATGAATATTTAGAATTGTTGAAAGAGTAATATAATTAAAAATGTTCACAAAACAAGACTTTTATCTCTGACCAAAAATGTTACAGATAGGTAAAGTTCAATTAAATGTTTAGGAGTTAAAGTGTAAAACATATCTTACGCATTTTTTATATCAATTTTAAAATTATTATTGAATTTCATGCTTTTTCCCCAAAATTTACAGCGTTTTAAACTTCAAACTTCTGCAACATTGCTGTTAAATAAAATACCATATTCTTGTCAAAAAACAGTGGCTGTAGTCAGTAGTAGGCCTATATGTGACAAATATTGATTATATTTAAATGTATACTTGAAGTAACTGTCATTCTTCAGTCTAAGTTACAGCAACTTTTATTGCAACCCGTTGAACCGAAATTCCAGTTAAATGAAACCATGGTAAAATAATAATTACTAAATCAGGAAACATCAGTAAATATTGTTAAGTAAGATTTTGTGCATAGCAAACGATTGTAGATTTTAGGATGACAGTAATAATAATACAGTAGAGTCCCGCAAACTCGGCTTAATGTGGACTGGAAGGATGCCGAGTTTGTGAAATGCCAGGTTATCGGAACTAGGGTTAAAAATAAGAACAATACAATTTTAAAGCTTTTTAACCGCCTTTTTTTATTAGTCATTATTAAGTCATCAGATATAGTACAACATACCCTTGGTACGAGTTGTGAATGATTTGACTTGAGCTGGCTTGAGTCCATGTTTAACTAAGACTCTAAAAATCACTAATTATCTGAGCCAGGTGATTGCCGAGTTATTCAGACTGCCGGGTTATCGAGTGCCGATTTTGCGGGACTCTACTGTAATATAAAATAGATGATCCGAAATAGTCTTGCCTTCGTATTTTTGTTGCGGTTCGCATGTATTTAAGTTAATTGGGGTTACATTCACGTTCTATTTTGACAAAAGTTCTTTAATACAATATTTTATTCTATAATATGAATATAATAAAATAGGTACCTAATAGTACTCTAGATGTTCAACCTCTTGTCAAGTGTAAGTTACTAAGCTATGTTTGCCGCTGTCATAGGCAAGGGTAGTGAGGACAAGCGAGGTCAAGAGGTCACGCCCGGGGTCGGTTCTCACTCGTGGCTCTACGTCAATGGCTACCCCATCATCTGTGACCGGTGGATGGAGGTGGCAGCACTGGTGTCTACCATCAACCCGTCGCTCAGTATCACCAACGATGTTGTCGAGGTGGCGCTACTGCAACAGGAGTTGTTGTGGGTGTTGTACGACCTCGGGCACTTGGCACAGTTCCCGATCGCCATAGGTAGCTTTACTATTCTACAGATTTTTTAAATAAGCGTAGATGAATGGTGTGAAAAACAATATATACCAGTTGTTCCACAAAGAGGTTGCTATTTTTAAATGATTATACCAACTTGATAGTCCACACCTATAATAAATGCATATGGTATCTAAAAATATTTCTCTCAGTGCATTGCGACTAATAAGTACAAAATGGTTTAACGTCACAATAATGGTGTATTTTTGCTGAATCAGGTAATTTTATTTGCAAAACCATTTGTAATTAATTCTAGATTTTTACAATGCTACATATAGGTGGATAAAATTAAAGAAATTAAAATTATAGCATAGTAGTGAATAATAAAACACACTACTTTGATTCCAAAACCCTTCAGTCAAACTGCTGTCCATCAATCGCTTTGTATTATAAGTTTTACCCTCAAGTTGTTGTTTTTTGCAATATCTTATGTTATTTTGACCCCTTTTTTTGATTGAAATGTTGTGCATTTTATTTACTTTTCAAATTTTGATAACTGTGATATTAGTTTTAGGCTTATCAACTAGACATGTTTTTTATTAGACTTCAATGTACATTGTAACATACTTGATCTGCAAGTAAAATGTTGACTTCTCCAAGGCATTGTTAAATATGTCTATTATTTATTGGAAATAATTCTTCATTCTATATGAATGTTGTTTGTAGGTTATAGTCAAACTAGCTTAAGCTATATGAAAGGTGTTCCACTTTTAGGCAACCTGGCTGACCTGGAGGAGATCAATCCGACGCAGGGACGTCCCCCGTGCTCGTCGCTGTTCCAAGAAGCCATCTTGTCTGCTCGCAAATACTACAACAACCAACATGTCTACCCGTACACTTACCAGGCGGGCTACTTCTACCGCCATAACATGTACAAGGAGGCTTTTGAGAGTTGGGCCAACGCCAGTGACGTCATCCGCCTGTGAGTATACAGAGAATCATTAAACTGAATATTGATGTTTATTGGGAAAGAATTATAGGCCTATTGCAACCTAAAAGATCTATCTTGTCCTCCAAACTTGGATCTGGTCCTGCCTAATGCACCCGATCCAGCCCTGATTCCAGCCAGGATTCTAACGGGGGAATGTACCTAATCCACCTGGTTCAGTCCACAACACCTCTTTCTCTGGCGCATCAGTGTACCTCCTAAGGGTATGATTTCTGAATTGTTGCCTGAATTCTCCCACCAATATAAATTTCAAATAATAAATAAAACTGTATTGTCACATCGATGTCAAATATAAGTAAACAAACTATGAAACATAAGACATTGACAAAACTTAACTTGAACTCCTTACTCCTTGGTTCCTAAAGTATTTTCTTAGGAAAACAGTGGATGTAAATAACAGATCTTTTTCATTGTCGGGGGATGAATCTCAATATCCTCAATTGTCATAGTGCTTAAATAGATTAATTTTACCAAAGTGGTGTAACAGTAATGTTTTTCTCCAGTTACAACTATTCCCGAGACGACGAAGAGATTTACAAGGAGTTAATGGAGATCGCTAACGAGTTGATTCCTCACATAATGAAGGTGGTGAGCTCCGGCCACAGCGCTCGGTCGATCCTTAAAGATCCCGAGTGTTTTGCGTATCTGCTGCGGTTCTACGACGGCATCTGCCAGTGGGAGGAAGGTAGCCCAACCCCTGTGTTGCACATCGGCTGGGCAAAACCCCTCGTCAACACTATCTCTAAATTTGATGCAGAGGTAAAGAAATCTCCTTAGAAGTTTTCAAAAATAAAAAAAAACCTTTGAAAATCGCCTCGGTAGTTCTTAGACAGTTTTAAAGGATGCAATTTTTTGTAGGCCTAACTTATCACATGCTGCTATATGTTTGATGCATAACCCACAATACTTATAAAACTTTCCTTGAGTATTTTTGGCCCCTCTAGATGTTTTTATTTCCTGTTCTTCCTTTAAAAAGTCTTCCCATATCTAATTGAGGATATTTATAACATACCGTAATATTATTTAATGGGAAATCTAGACAGTAAATTTCAATAGTGTTACTATTGTTAGAGATTTTGATTTGTTCATAATTAATTGATAGATCCTGAGCGGAAATTTAACACTCAACAAGTTTTGAATTTAATGTGGGTCATGTGAGAAATATATATGATAAACAGCTTAAAAGTTCAATTGTTCCCAAATGAATTAAAATTACTATTGATTGTCAGATATAGGTTTGGTTGTTTTAAACTTAAGAATGAGATGTGAATCAAATCAAATCCACACATTAATTGAAACTGTTTTTATTTTCAAACAAAACAATTAAAAGACACGAAAATGTTTCATCTCCAACATAATGGCTTGTAGTTGTAAACCCACAAACCTCACTACCTTATTTTTATTTATAATTTCAATTTTCATTGAATTTTTCAGGTGAGATCACAAGTGGTTATTTTACCAGGCGGTCTACTTGAAGGGTCAGAAAAGGACGGAAAAGAGGGTGGTGACGTGATCAACAACAATAACGACTGTTGTAAAACCCGTGAAGGCGATCTGATCTCCTCGCTGGAGTCCAAAGTCAAAGACAAACAAGCCGCACTTCACCCGAGCATCGAAGCTCTGACTGCTGCGTGCGGCGAGAGAATTCTCAACCGAGACTTTCTCATTCAGGGCGGTGGAGAACCGTTTGTGGGCGGCGCCGAACTGGCATCCTCATCTAATGTCGATCTTTTGAAAACGGAAACCACTCAGCCGAAACTGGTGTTGCACAGTGAGAAGATGAGAGGACTGAAGGATCTTCTGTTGGCGGAGAAACTGAACACTCACGCCATCAGTCTGCAACTGACGGCTCAGTCTCAGGTGCAGGTAGGTAAGAAGGTGAGGGAGGAGCAAGGATTGGGCACCCGACCCAAGCGAACCAGGAGAGAGTAACTGAGGGTAAAATCAAAACTTATTTGAGGAGGGATTCTGGGAGATCGGATTCGAATTTTGAAAATCAACTGTCGATTCTGGTTTGTTTTATTTACGAAAATACAGTAAAACCCTAACCAACCAAAAAGAGGCAAGGCCGGTTTGGATAACTCATTTTTCAGTTATTGAGTGTTTTTAATATAAGAAGTATTTTAATCCTAAGCGATTCAACATTCAACTTTATTTCATTACGTTACAACATTCAATTTTTACATTGTTTCAATTGTCATCTTAAAATCTACTATTTTATTTTCCCAGCTGCCAACTACCCGCTCTACAGCAGACAAATCCTGTTGTCTAGCTTATTTTCCTTTCCAATGGATTTTAATATTTTATTATGGCTTCGATTTGGGGTTTGGTTAGAATGGGGTTTACTGTACATTTACAAAGCATTCTCAACTTCAATTGCAAGTAAGTTTTTTTGTTGTTTTTAAAGGTGACAAGTACTTATTTAATTAGTTTCAATGGTACAACTTATCCATTTGAGGTTGAATGGTATGTGTCGCAAGAATGTTTTGGTAATTTTTAATTTTTTAACAATGCATCTAATCAAAATGTTTTAAAACTTCAAATGTATTTAGAAATTAAGTTAAATGTTCCAAATGTTACAATAGAACAATCTATGTTTGGTTAAAAACTACTTCTAAAACATCTTTCAGCACTCATATGTCCATGTTGTTTATATCTTTCAACCTCAAAGGGTTATAAAAAAACTAATTTTGTCACATGAATGATTTCAGCAATTTTTTACAACTTTTTATTACCGGTTATATTTTACAAACCCAGTTTTTGTTGTGTTAAAAACTTGTCAAAACGTTTGACATTAAAATGACAGATGATCTATCTTTGATTCCATATGCCATCTTTTTCGAATATTGAGTAAGCAATTTGGAGGCTTGTGTAAGTCGTAAATTTTTTAGTCTACTCGTAATCTCTAGTCCTCTACTAGGTTTATGGAAGATTATGTGATCATCTCCTAATCGGTGTTTGCCTTAGGGTTTGTTTTGTTTTATTGCGCTTTTTACAAAGTCATTTTCAAAAATGAGATTTTGAAGGTTATTTAAATTTTTAATTTCAAAGCTGCAGTTTTAATTTATTCTAAGTGTTATTTTTTAATTGTTTCCTTAATACTCTTGTTAAGTGTTTGACATTGTTTTTGTTGTGATAAATGTCTAATTTATAATTTTGACGCAAGCACTTAAAGTGTATTTAGTCTACTAAGTTATGTGAGCAGGCTTTAAATGTTGGGTCAACGACTGATCATCGTTATCAATTAATAAATAATTAATTGTTGTTTTATCGTTTACTTATTTAATGTTTTACATTTTTTTGGAGTTGTTTATTTCTAAGAGAAAATTGGTACTAAAATATTTTGACGTGAAACTCCTTATATTATTGAATTTTTGAAGAGTTGGCTTACATATAAAGAAGTCGTTAAAGTTTAAGTCTTTAAACAATCTGTTCGGAAAGATATAAACCATTCTTTAAGCTTTAAGTATGTTGACCCGATATCAAAACTGTTGCTTTTAGATCTGTATTTTTAGTGTTTTAGAGTATATTTTTTATATTGTACTCCCTAGCAGAGATGCTGTTATGTACTTAGGTCAGTTGGTTGGTGCAAACATGGAAGGTGCACATAAAAACATTTTTGTATCATGTCAGTTGCAGAGTAAAAGTATTCATACTATAAAGTTATGTTAAGTTTTAAAACTTGTTGACGTTAGTAGTTGATATTCGATCAATTGTGATCACATCATGAGTTTGTAACTTGAGACTTGGGTCTATCACTGTATAATCTTTTCAGTAATGTTAGGTCTTGGTTGTGCTTTTAACATGGTTTAGGTTGTGGCACGTATCACAGTGAAAATTTGACCACACCTTTTTTTGACATTATGATTATGAATACACTGAAACAACTGTTTAGGTTCCTCGATACTGATTTTGTCAATGTAAACTTATAATTTGACCTCATAAAAAAATGAAAACACTGGAATGATGACAAATGTAAAACTATTATCTACTTAAGGTTATCCCACTTAAAAACCCCGTATAAGGATTCTTAAATATTTGTCATTAAATTTCATTACCATGATGGAAATGTAATCTTTAAATAATTAGCTTTACTAATATTAATATAAGACGTAATATCCTTAGTAGTTTTGTTTTTTCAAACTTTCATGTTTAATTGGCTTAAAAAACTTGTTTTCAAGTTTAAAGAGGAATTTTTGAATATTTATTACCAGTTTTTGTAAACTATTTATTGGACATTCACGGTGCCGCTAAAATAATTGCACTGTGGCTAAGTCACAATTTGACATTTGTTGTTTGTTGCAATATTTAAAAAATGAATAATGTACATATTGTAGTTATTCAAACAATATGAACTGTTATACTGAACTAAACCATTTTTATATACCGTAAATACTGAGTGAACTAATTATTTTACCCTTGAAAAAAATATTTTTTTGGATTTTCAATAGTTATAAAATTGTTTTCAAATACATGTTGAATAAGTTTCTTACATTGAAGTGAAACTAAGAGGGCCGCCCCAAAATGAACATACATTTTGCAATGACGCTGCACGGTTCGATGCTTTTTCCGCCATCCTAGTATCAGAGTGTTTCTACACCCGGTATACATCCAACTACAGCAACAGAATTGTTTTATCAATAGTTGTCTGATGTGAAGTGTAACAACAGTGCTATCTTTGCAGACTGTCCCGCCAATAATTGTAAATGAGCTGTGTAATCAGATTTTTGTTCGCAAAATTTCACACACCAATTAATTGTAATTTATCGCCAGGTTTGGGATTTTTATGGCAAAGGAGTAATGAGCCTAGTGGTTAGTCGTGCATTGAATTAAAGTCGTGCTTTAAAAATTAATTAAAACCTTTTTTACTCTTCGTCGCAAGTCTCAGTTTTTTTATCGATCAAAACTTTGGAATCCATTAGAAACCAAATTTCTGTGGACCAAGTTTTTTATGCAATTTTATGAACCAAGCTCCGTGAAATTAAGGGAAAATGTTATTGTAAATATAATTGTGAAACCCTGATTTTCACAAATTTTTGGTTGTTGACTCCCTATCAGTTCAACAGCCAATAGAATAGGCCTAACACTGGTCATGATTGTGAACATTTGTTTGGATAATTTTAACATTAATTCTCCATTTTCTTACACAGCCTTTAATTACAACTACTTTGTTATGAATATCACAAATCTGCTGATTTATTTCCATTTGCTTTGGATTTTTCAACAAAAAACTTATCACAGTACAACTCGCAGGATTTCCAATGACAATTTAACACTTCACTTCAGACAATGTACGAGAGATTATTCGCATGCCCCTATGGCTGGATGCATACTGAGTGTAGGAACGCACTAAGACGGTGGCAGTAGAGCCGCCTCTAGCGGAATAGATGCGAAACATCTGTTACTTTCTGGACAGTCCTTGTATTTTTTCAACTCGTTGAAGCTACATAAATTGAAAGTATGAATTTAATGTGTCTAATTTGATCATTTACATTTACAGTTTTGCCATACATTTAAAACTGCTAAGCCAACATCGTAGTTTGTCGGTGTCAAATTTTTTGTCAAGATTCATTTTGGTTCTTTAACTTATTAAAATGTTAACCTTTCGCATGAATTGATAAATTTTCCATACTTTATTGTAACTAAATTAGGTATCACTAAAGATTTGAGTGGATTTGTATGGCCACAAAACACAATACTGTTCAGGAACTATGACGGAAACTTAATCTTGGTCATTGATGGATTAAAGCCCGAATATAAAATTACATTTTACAGATTTGGCCTTGCTTAAAAATTACAGTTTTAGCATTTTGACATTTTATATGATTGGAATTGGAAGATTGTGTTAAGTTTTTTGTAAATAACTATTTCTAGTACAAATTTGAGGAAGTCTTTCACTTGTTTATCCTAATGTTAAAATTTGTGTTTTCAAACTACTGTATCTATTTAAGAATGTGTTTGTTAAGGTCAATTAGGAATGACAAAAAAGTTTTATTTAAAAAGAGTTCAACCGATCTTAGTTTTTATTTATAACTAGAATCTAGAAAGAGTTCAAATATATTATTAAACTGTTGCAGTCATGTTTCTTCAAAACAATGTTTAAGCACATAGTCTCTACAACTGTTTTCTACTATGTTTTTTGATAAGAAATATTAATTTTAATCTACCTGTGTGTTGGTAGGTTTTCAGTTTTTATCTTTGGTAATGTTATTAAACTAAACCTACTAAACCTTTTTCTGTCCTAAAATTAATCTGTTTTTCTTGGGATTTCAGTACCTAAACATAATATTGTAGTGATTTTAAAGTAACGTAACAATAAATCAGTATTATTAACATATTGGTACAGTCATGCTATAATTTATTAATATAGCAACTATTTTCATGAAGCCGGTAGCGGCATATAGATATCCTGTTAAGCTGCATGTTATCGTAGTTAAATGCAATATATACCGTTGAACCATGATGTTTTATGTGATTGTTAGGTACTGTGTAAATAAACAGAAACATGTCAATAATAGAAACAGTTAGCTTTCTCTATTTAGGCGAAGTTTTATACTGGCTCAGTCATGGGCGAATGTCAGAAATGTTGAAAAGGTTGAAACCCTTTTCAGGTTTTTGCTGCTGTTTTGGTTAGTTTTAATAGTTTTACTAATAACTCACTTGTAGAATCCACAATTTGTAATGCTTATAATAATAGATTTTATGGGATATTTTAAATGGTGCTGTCCTTAAATACTTTAAGCAATGATGTTTTTAAATATTTTTTCCTTAAAATATGACATACTTTATTTACTACTACTACTACTACTTTATTCACCCTTGTTTTAAATCATTATTCACATAGGTTTTTGTGTTGTTCAATATGAATGAGTGCTGAGTGTGCACATTTAGACTTTGGGTGCTTTTAATTGTTTTAAACTGTTCACTTAATGGTTAGATGGGATCGTTTTATAATCTAATTGATCATAAAATTACTTGTTCCTTTGCTAATAAGTAGGCTATATAATTGTTTTATATTATGTGTACCCTAAATTTAATTAATGTTGCCGAAACAATTTGCATCTAAATTTTAGAAAGTATGTAATGTTTTTATTTTAATATTGCTAGAATGATGTTGAGATTTTTAGTGATCACAAGGCTGATTTTTAAATGCAAAAGAATGCATCTTATAATTCTTTGGTTTATTTTCAGTGTTTAAAATACAATAATACATTGTTAAAACTTTGGTAGCTACATTCCATTGGTCATCTTGCCAAGCTAAGATCATAATCGTCAGCAAGAATATTTAAAAATTCAAGTGTTTGAACTCTTTTCAGTTCTAAGCCAAATATTTTTCCATCAAAATTGTTTATGAAGTATCTATAATTTATCACCTAGGCAGGTCTCGATAATGAAAATTACTATTTTTGTTTCAATATCTTTGTTGCAATGGTATTGTTAAATAGGCCTAGTATTTGAACACTGTTTTACTATGCAAATTGGTCATCTGCCATCTTTTAGTGGACAAAATTATGATAGCTTTTAGTTTTATTCTTGTTTACCACATTGTAAAAACAACAATTCAAAACCATTGAAGGGATCAAAACTCATGAATTACATTTAAAATGCTTAGTACTGAAAGAGTTCATCGAACGAATATCAATGTTTTCTATTTTAAAATTTTGTTTACAGTTTTAATTTGCAAAAAGATATTTGATTATTTTGTTTCAGTCCTTGACACCTAGTTTTCTTGTTTAGATTACTGTTACGTTGTAAATATGCAGCTGCAAGTGGCCAACTGTTAAATGATAAGGTGTATTGTAAAATGATGTAAATAACTGATTAGGGTTGATTGTAGGTTTAGTGCAAGGCTGCTGCAACTTTGGGGATGGGCTCGCTTTTTTGCATTTTTTTACCAGGAATGGAGGGTTCTTAATTGTTTGAATTTTTTACTCAAGTTGTTTTTTGTTTGTTAGATCTAGATCTGTGTAGATCGTAAATAATGTTGAAAAAATAATGTTATGTCAAATGGCATATATGTCCTCATGAAATGTTTTTTTTTTTATGTAATGATAACATTTTGAAATTGCGTATCTCCATTTCTGGTTTCTGAAAGTAAGGTAGTTTATTTTAATGCAATTTTTATGTAGTTTTTTTCTTCTCAGGTTTTAGTAACTTTCTCAGGTTTAGTTTCGGCTCATCCTAAAGTCCCATGACTGTGATGACTGTTATTTATAAGGTGAATAGATTTCCAAGTATTTTTGTAAAAGTGATGTAAATTAACTATTGAAATATTCAGTGTTGTACGTTATACTATTTATTTGGGTGCTTTTGAAGTTTGTCTTTGGAACCCTTTAGATTTACTCACCTGGGGTGAACATAATATGTTTATTTAACTACTGTAATTCCACCAGGAAAGTTAAAAATCTCACCAACCCTAATGACATAACCTTTTACTTTGAACTTCCCCTATGTCCATGTCATGTTCCGAAGCTAAAGCAATTATCAAAAATATATGTCTTAGCTAAGTAGTAAGTTAACACCTCTATTACTAGCTTCAGACTTTGATGTATACATTGTGTGTATCATAATGTTTCAGTGTAATAGATGAATCTATCAAAATAATAGTGGACTGAAAGCAACTTGTGTTCTGAAATTTATTTCACACCAAATTCCCCCAATTGAACAAATACCCCCGCCGCAGCAAACCTGCAGACTAAGCGAATTTCAACTCGTCTGATTACATTTTTACTAAAATATTTCCATAAATAAGACATATTATTCCCTATTTAAATAACATTAGATTTAACGAGTGCTTAGGTTTGCTGCTACGGGGAAGGTAAAAAGTGTTTTTTTGACCATACGTCAATAGTATAGGATGAAATAAATAAATTTGCCAAATTTTATCAATATATACCCATAAACAAGTAAACTACAACAATTTTCATTTTCTCCATAAGAATAACATGGGAATTTTTAATTACACTATTTTTGAATTTTCTCCGTGACCGTTAGGCATACAACAGCGCTTCAATATACTAAATTATTTCTTTTTTTAAGCTCTACAAAACGGTTTGGAAAGAAATCGCAAAATTTTTGGTTTTTAGGTTCAAAAATGGAAAAACCCATTTTTACCCCATAAAACCCCCATAAACCCCCGTTCCCATGGTCCGATTATGCTGGATCGCAAACTCGTTCGAATAAACGTAGGTTTACACGTTTGTACCAAATTTCATTAAAATCGGATCATTTTTGCTCGAGTTATCGCGCTAACGGACACATATATATATATATATATATGAATTTGAACGGATGGTGTTTTTGGCCTCTAGGGACCTCAAAATGAAAAATTAAATCGGTCTCGGGTCCAGGTCTTACCATGAGTACTACGGTAATAGCTTATTCCCTATATGGGAAATTCGCTAAAATATAACCCTTAACCTTAACCAATGTTCACTTACAATGATTTAAAACATTTTTGTGTACTCATGTTTTTTTACCATTATTTGACATGTTGAGTTAGGCTGGTGTTTTAGATTTTCTCAGTTTAAATAAGCCCCACAGAATTACTGATACCTGAAAGTGCGCTAATTATTGTTTCTTTATTAACTGTTTCTTTGCAGGTCTCCAAATAATTAGTTTTATTGAAAGTTTTGAATCAGTATTAGCATAAATAGTAGATTTCTCATCCTTATGGAACAGTTGAAGCCAATTTTATTGCCAGTTCTGTTCAGTGCATTGTGAAGGATTTTTTTTGTTTACGATTTGTTTTTTGTTATTTCAGTCATTTAAAATCTCCTTTAACCAAATAGTACAATGAGAAGTCTTCTTTTGTTGGTTAGTCGATGGTATTAGTCAAGACAGCGTTGGACATGAAAAGATGGACACCACAAACCTGGGTCAATATTGCTTGCAAACTCCTGAAACCTCTGGCTGTGCAATGCTTGAGGCTTAAAGGGTAGACCGGGATTGCGCCAGTGGTTTGAAAAGGGTCAGCCTGGCACGGACCGGGATTATGCCAACGCTACCCCAGGTAGCCGGGTAATCGAGCAAAAGATGGAATATTATAACCCAACCTAACCCGATAATGAAGGGAGAAACTAATGTTGAAGTATATTCTGAAATTGAAGAAATGCCGCATTGGAGCAATGACGGTGCATTTTGGAAGGGTAGATTTGGCAGTGGCGATATGTCAGGATAGTAAGGATTACCGATTACCAAGTTAGGGGCTCACCTGCTTAACTGTAAATTGGAATCCACGTTGTCTGTGTTTGACAAGATGATAGCTAACAGTCGATAAAAGCTCACTCAGAGAATCTTATCTTCAAAGTTTTGCCATTCATTTTGACTAGTGATGGGTGATACGGGTCAATGTATCGATACTGCGTATTGATACGTATCGGAACGTGGTGTATCGTATCGTATCCTCATGTATCGATTTTTATCTGTATCGGATAAAATATCGTATCGTATTGTTTATTTATAATTTTAAAAAAAATTAAATATCTCAAATATACAAGCTGCATAGACAAATACTATGTTACTTACAAGCTTGTAAAGAGGGTTAGTGCTTGTAATCTTACCTCAGAAAAGCCGTTTCCTTCCTGTGTCTTTTTATTTGTATCAAACCTACATACATAACCTCCAAATTCCGGTAAACCCTCAAAATTGGAAAACATTTTGTTATTGTTTTCCTAGTTTTTACACAGGGATAATTAATTGAACCAAAAAGTACTAATAATGATGGTAGGTATGCCACTTACACATTAAATAGTATAATATGGACAATGAGGATCCCCACTTCCATTAATGGTGGCCCTAGTTTTGAGGTTATTTACAAAACATAGCTGAAAATACATGTTTTATCAGTGTTTTTGAAGATGCTAGGGTAAAATATCAAATTTCCACTACTACTTTTGAGGGGAGGAAGATGGGAAGACAAATTTCTTACCATAAAAATAAGATTTATATTACGGTAATAAATAAACAATACGATATTCGATATGATATTGGCTATAGGTGTATCGATACGGGCGATATTTTGCGGTCCTTGTATTGATATCTGTATCGATAGCACATCACTAATTTTGATGCACAGTATTTCAAAGTCCAAGCAGAGGGCAGGCTGATTTGGAACATAGAGTATCTGGAGTTTCATTAGAAAAATACTTTATAATTCAAAAAGAGGGATTCCTCCTCTTCAAAAAGGAAACATCGTGTTAGATCAGTAGTTTGTCTTAAAATGTAATGCCATTGATGTCGCAAGATTTTTAAATTTAATTTGGTTGAACTAACTAAAAACATAATCTGTTATTTTTTGTAAAGTAACCAGGAAAAGCTGTTTAATTGTAACATTCTGTACCTTACATAATACATATTGTGTATATTATATTCGCACTTGATTCTTTCGTCTGTAAACACTTGGACAGAAGAATCAAGTGTGAATATATGCGATTTGTCCAGCCCCTCACAGTTTTTACCAGAGACTATCTCTTCAAGTACATAATACGGTATTTTTAAAATGAACTTTGTTATTGGAATGGTTTCTTGCTTTATAAAAGCTAGTTAATTGGCCCACCAATTTTGTGTTATCAAGAGTCTGGTGTATTTAACAGTTTTTAAGTTTTATCAATCAATTTGAGAATGGTGATATTCAAATAGCTTATTTAAACCTATAAGCAAAGTGATAATAATAAATCACAAGATATGAGATACAGTCATTACTAGATTGTCAGTTTGAAGATAGGTTATCAACAATATCTGACAGTTGAGCCCAACCCGTCAAGTGCTCCACAACCACTATGTGTGATTTATCATATATTTTATGTTGAAATTGTAGCAAAAATGGCTGGTGCAAGTAATAAAAGTAAAAGTTTTGAATCCATTTTAACCACAGTTGAAAAATGTGCAGAGTGCCCGGTGTGTTTAGAAACTGCAAAAGTTCCTTTTAAACTGTGTTCTAGAGGCCATATTATATGTTTGTCATGTACCACCAAGCTAAGTAAATGCCCTACATGTGAAGGCCCGTTCATATTGGAAAATCCAGTTTGTCTAAAAAATATACTGGAAGCTCTGCCACGTCGTTGTATCTACAGTCAAGATGGATGTGAGGAAATTGTTGAATCCGGTAATGATCATGAGAGGTTTTGTGGTTACAGACCGATTGTGTGTCGAGGGTTTGATTGTTCTGTTAAAGTGCCAGTTTTGAAGATAATGGATCATTACAAGGAACATCATGAAGATGCTCTCTACATTACAGAGAGATATGTAGAGGGACTTGACTTGTTTAGTCCACTTTTCCTTATGGCGCACATTCCAGTATGGTTTTTTAACAATTTGTTTTGGTTTCTATTGTTCTATGATCAGGCAAAAGATGCTTACAAGGTATACTTTCTGGCAACACCAATTGGTAAGCTCGACCATGATTATTATGTTCGTTTTACAATAGAAAATGGGGATTTTCTCGTAGCTAACACACTGAAAGCTGCAGTGATATCTCGTGAGAACGAACTTGCAGTCACTGACCTTTCGAGAAGGGAAATACTACTACAATGGACTGGTGACTATGACAAATTTTGTATGATAATTCCTCGTTGGCAACTAAACGATTGGAATTCATACAAGTACAAAACTAATCTTGTTTTCTTAATAAGGAAAAAAATTGAAGGTATAATCATAGAATAAATAACTTCATCTATGGTATAATGTAGATTTTAGTGCACTTCCAATTACATATTTCATGGAGAAAATTCTGTGTGAATACAAGAATTAATTTCAGGTCTTCCTCCTTACTTTAGCTTATACTTGTGTTGACATTGTTACAAGCATAACTTCTTTTAATCTATGATAATAGGCAAAACTAAGGTAGGAAACATAATTGTTGTAACTGATAATCAATATAGATGTGAAATCAAAACTTTGTGTGTGGGATACTTAATATGTTTTCCTTCATTATTCAGTATATTGAGTTAGGCTTATGTGTTTATAAGACCATCAGAACTACTGATGTCTGAACGTACACTAATTAGTTTCAACTATCTTAATTGTTTTGTTGAAAGTTTCAAATCAAAATTAGCCAAGACCAAGATGGACATAAAAAATATGGACAACCACAAACCTGGGTGAATATTGGTTGGAAACTCCTGAAACCTCTGGCTGTCCAATTCTTGGGGCTAAAAATATTTGCACAAGGATGGTAAAGGATTACCAAGTTAGGGGCTTACCTGGTTAACGTGGTAAATTGGAATCCGTGTTGGACAAAATGTTAGGCCCAGGAAGTTTCTGGGAAGATAGCATAGATCTAGAATACAATACTATTACTTTACGAATACTCTATCTGTCAATGATTAATGACTTACTTGGTGGTCTCTTGTAAATACCTTACCTTGATACCACTTGCATCGCTGTGCCAATGATTTTACCATAGATAAAACATACTCCCTTAGTGTGCCTAATCTATGATTTTACCCTTAGCTATCTAACTTGGGATAGTTTCCACTTTCCAGTCCATCCAAATTAATTACTGTCACGTTTCAGACCATAGGTCGGCCGCTTAGAAAACGACCTAGGCAAAATTTTTAGCGCATGTAGGGGAGGTAACGGCGAGGTAGGGCATGTTCCCCCTCTCCGCCAATGGCCGTTTTCACACTGCACGACACCGACACGGCGCCGCCCCGGTGTCGTGGGAGTTGGAATCCTGTGTTACCAAATGGAACTGCTTACACAATGATATAATAACATTTCATGATGCTCAAATATTGATGTGATTTAGGCTATACAATATTTTTTGCAGGACCTATTTTTCTCAAGTTATGAAGAACGTGATTGTTTACATTTTGATCAGCTGTATAATTTAATTGCTGTTAATATTTAAGAATCACTGCGCAGTGTTCGGGAAGGTTGGGGGTGGGGCGGCAGTGGAGTGGGGGAAGAGCCATAGTCTGTCTCACTCCCCCACAGCTCAGTATCTCTCTCTTGCACCAATGCTACGAGGAGGACGCTTTCTAAGCGGCCGACCTATAGTGTCAAATGTATCTAAAGACAATCAAGTGAGTGGTTCTAAAATGTTACATTAACAAAGTCAGCTGCATTAAGACTATTATTAGTTGTGGCATTCCCTAGCTATATAAGGTTTAGGAGGAAGAAAATAACCATACATAAATGGATTTCAAAACCTGAATTTTTATTTAATAGTTACATTTCCCTTACATTTTCAGAACTATGAAATAACAATTGCTTGATTTATCAAGAAATAAAGAAACAAAACATTTAAATGAGGTAATGTTTTTCATTCAGAGCCCTAAAGAATTAATTTTATTAAATGCTGGAGTTTAAATCAAATTCGCAGACTATACATGTGCATAAAAAGGATTTATTTTAACTATAGAGGATAGTTTGATTTATTAATATTTAAATTAACAAAAATGTTTACAGTCACATTACCGAAGAAAAATAAGTTTTAGATTTAGATTAGATGTGGTATGACCATGAACATTGTACATTTATTTCAATTCAGTTATCGAAACAAAACACTTGACAGCAATGATCAGAGTGAAATAATTGACATCAAGTAATTAAGTTGGAAGACAAGTCATCCAATGCTTTGATAAAATAACAAAGAATTTTAATAATATGTTGACTTAAATATATTACTTTAACTATGAACGAGTAGACATTCCATTCCTATGTTTGAGTTGTAATCATTTTTAGAGTGATAATAAACATAACTTAATTGAGCCACTGACTTAGTGTGATTTTTGTAGAATTTCCAACTTTTTAACCAAGCCATACTGAAAGGACGAGTTTTAAACAAAAGCATTCTTTATGTCATACCAACTTTTTCAGAAAGAAACTAAAACTAATAACGGCAAAATGAAAAAACAATTTGCTGCTACTGGTCCAGATAGCAAGAATGTATCCAAAAGTTAATGATATCAGTTGTGCCTTTTATTAGTTCACTTTATAGGCTAGGCATATTAGGAATATAAGTGACAGTTAAAGGAAAGTTTAGGTACAGTCCTAATCATCACTTTTCTTTATGTTTTTTGGGTCGCTGAACACGAATATGAGGTTTGCTGACAGATACTTTGCCCGGAACATTGGTTATTTTGTGAAAAACCTAAAAATTTTGGCACTTTTTTTGGTTTTTCGGGCAAATCTCGGTAAGTATGGGTTTTTGAGAAAATCCTGCTATGTAAAATTAAAGATGACAAAATTTACTACAAGTTTCCTATATAATGTTTGTTTCTACGACGAACCGTTTCGCCACTAGAGCACACTAAAAAAGGCCAGAAGTACAAAAAATTAAAAACATTGGTAAATGCTGCCGTTTTACATTACGTTTCCATGGAAACCCATGTTACGATAATTTTAACTATTTATTCATGATAACAAACTGAAACACACTTAAAAATACCCCCGCCGCAGCAAACCTGCAGACTAAGCGAATTTCCATTTCCCTGATTGGATTTATTTTTTGATTTTTTTCAGACTAAAACGTCTCCTTAGAAATATCACATTTATTCCCTATTTAAATGAAAGTTTAATGAGTACTTAGGTTTGCTGTAACAGGGAGGGTAAAAAGGTGTTTTTAAAATGTAATAATTTAGTATGAAATGAATGCATTTTCCAAATTTGATCAAAATATGTTCATAAACAAGCAAACTACAACAGTTTACTTAGTCTCCATAAGAATAACATGGGCATTTTAAATTTACAGATTTTTGGAATTTTCTCCGTAACCGTTAGGCACATAACAACGCTTTAATATACTAAACTATTTGTTTTTTTAAGCTCTACAAAATGATATGGAAAGAAATCGCTAAATTTTAAGTTTATAGGGTCAAAAATAGGAAAAACCAATTTTCACCCCATAAAACCCCCCATAAATCCCTGTTCCCATAGTCCGATCATGCTGGTGCGCGAAATTATTCAAATAGACGTAGGTTCACACGTTTTTCCAAATTGTCATCAAAATCGGATGATTTTTGCTCGAGTTCTCGAGTTACGGAGAAAATTCCAAAAATCTGTAAATTTAAAATGCCCATGTTATTCTTATGGAGACTAAGTAAACTGTTGTAGTTTGCTTGTTTATGAACATATTTTGATCAAATTTGGAAAATACATTCATTTCATACTAAATTATTACATTTTACAAAAAACACCTTTTTACCCTCCCTGTTGCAGCAAACCTAAGTACTCGTTAAACTTTTATTTAAACAGGGAATAAATGTGATATTTCTAAGGAGACATTTTATTGTAAATCCAATCAGGGAAATGGAAATTCGCTTAGTCTGCAGGTTTGCTGCGGCGGGGGTATTTTTAAGTGTGTTTCAGTTTGTTATCATGAATAAATAGTTAAAATTATCGTAACATGGGTTGTTTCCATGGAAACGTAATGTAAAATGGCAGCATTTATAGCAATGTTTTTAATTTTTTGTACTTCTGGCCTTTTTTAGTGTGCTCTAGTGGCGAAACGGTTCGTCGTAGAAACAAACATTGTATAGGAAACTTGTAGTAAATTTTGTCATCTTTAATTTCACAAAGCAGGATTTTCTCAAAACCCATACTTACCGAGATTTGCCCGAAAAACCAAAAAAAGTGCCCAAATTTTTAGGTTTTTCACAAAATAACCAATGTTCCGGGCAAAGTATCTGTCAACAAACCTCATATTCGTGTTCAGCGACCCAAAAAACATAAAGAAAAGTGATGATTAGGACTGTACCTAAACTTTCTGCTAACTTTCCTAATATGCCTAGACTATTATCATAATATGAGAATAGATCAGTTAATTTCTCGAGTCTTCATACTTTGCTGTTGTATGCGTTATCTTCCTCAGTACTTTACAATCAGCTGAGATTCAACAAAGAAAGGTGTAATGTTCGAATCCTATATCATTAGAAAGGCAAGAATATTTCTTGAAAACTATATTCTAAGCTTGTGTGCATCGCAAGGATAATCTACGCATATTTTTAGAAAGATATTTTCCTATGTTCAGAATCCCTTCATAAATTAAAATACTGTAGGTTCAAAAATAAGCAAAAAAAATGAATTTAAAATTGTACAAATAACACGGGCCTTATGTGTTGCCATGCTGGTGACGAAATAACAATGAAGTATAAACAGAAAATCAAAACAAATGGAAGAAATTCCAATACATGTTTTATTTACAGCGTGGGGTAAAAATAGAAAAGTTTGCACAATACATATTATTGGTTGAGTTTTCAACCTCTAGTACAAATAATGTGTCCAATAGTGTGAAACCCAATGTTATTCATTTCAAGCATTTCAATTGAGAACTAGTCGTGATCCTACCAGTTTTTCTTATCCAAATATCACCTTGCATCGGAAATGCTACACCCACTTAAAGAAAGCAACTAACCCTAAGTTAACGTCTATACAAAATATTTGACAAACAAACAATCCAAAGTTATGACTTTCTAGAACTTAAATTAATATCAAGCAGTTATTTACAATTAAAACATCAATAATATACCGAGGGTGAAAATAAGTATCAGAGGATTTTAAAACTTGATATTATTTTATTTTTCATGGGGTGAATGCCAATTTTGATAAATTATAAAAAAACATTAAAAATTTCCAATACAAAGTAGTAAGATTACTAAAAAATGTCTGCATTAAGGCTGTTTTACTTGTGTGAAGTTAACGGGCAATTTATTTTTCGGCTATCAAATATGTGTAGCGCAGGTTTAAGTCGAGCCAGACAGTCAGTGAAGTTGATTCTGAACTCTGGCTTCTCCAATCATGCAGTATTTTATGTTCATAGTGTAGAGGAATGAAAAATTCTCATCCAAGCACTTTACAAACATCAAAGACAATGAATTGTAAAACAAGGACAGTAGAACGTTAACTTGGCCACATCAACCCATCTAACTGTGTAGGCGCCTAAACCAAGCTTTAACATCCTCAAATACAACTTTGAATTGACCCTTTAGACGAGCAAGGCCTATAGACCTGTGTAATGGTAACAATATCCACTTTAGATAGGTTTGTACAACAGAGTGGTGACGTATTTCTTGCGGTAGCGATGTGTCGCACTCAATACCATTACGCCATCTTTGATGGACAGAGCGTACAGATGGTTCAACATTACATGGTTCGGCTCTGGAAGTAGGGTTGGCTCACACTGCAAAAACAAATATGATTGTTTAATAAAATGGACAAATTCCTACACTGACTTCAAATAACGACAAATTCCAGATTTGACTCTCCATACCCATAGTAAATAAATTCACAATAACAAATCAAACACATACAAAGTTTAACTAAGTGTGTGGCAGGTAATCAGTGCTTTGTAGTAAAATGTTCAATGGACAGCAACAAGGCATTTATGAAGTTGCAGAATATGTTGATTATCTGGCGCCATAATTTACTTTTGTCTTTTTGTACATTGTGAAGCATTGAACAAAATGTCGTCATTGGTGAACTTGAACTTTTTTTACTTTCCTTGGTACAATAGGAATGAAAAGAAAATTATAAATTGTTAGTGTTTGATTGGTCAAACAATATGAAATACACAACTATCTCCACCAAAAAAAAGTTGGTAAAAACTACTGTCAAAATCACAACTGCTAGAAACGGCTGTTAGCAATCAAGGTAAAGTAATCATTATTGAAATAAAAGCTCACTAAGTATGTCCACCATCTCAATTACTCTATCGACTGGGACCGTTAGTGGCGTCCACCTGTAATACAGCTACTTGGAGGTCACGAATTGTGGATAATTGTACGCATAATCTGTGGATGCGATACTCCTTGGTGTGGATTACATCCGCACTAGTGAGTACTACAACTATCCTGCTAATTAGAACAATTTGTAAATTAGAAGGTAAAAATGTGGTTCGGATTCCACTATAAACAGTAGGTGTGGGCTATTAATTAACAGTCCTGTCTAAGAAACATGTCGGCCTTAGTAACAAGACTCCAAGATCGCACCACTCATGCTACACTCATCTCCATTCGTACTTGGCTTAAAACACCTACCTTCAAATGGTCGCTATTTTTGTTTAAAGTATTCAAGTATCAGAAGATTTCTTTAATAATAGTTTTCAAGTTGGGGAGATACTGACCGACAATGGAGTGTCCTTGTTGAGGATGACTTGCAGTAGATGAGGAGGCAGGATAGGGGGTCCCGACGGCTTCTCCCACGGTCTGTTTGTTGGAATCTCTTGTGAGTATTCTCCTAAACATGACATGAAATGTTAATTCTGGTGCAAAGAGGAATTGCTTATCACTCTCTCATGTTTCTTTCTTGATTTTTTAAGGAAGCGTAATTCTTTTATACCCTGTCACTGGTTAACATGAGGTCCACCCAAAAAAGGAAACTAGTCATCCTGTTAGTTCAGTAGTGTGTCGTAAATAATGTCATTGATCGCAAGATTTTGTAATTTAATTTAACAACAAGCTATTGTTTGTTGTAAAGTAACCAAAATTAGCTGTTTTATTGTGACGTTCTGTACCTTACATAATACAAATTGCGTATCTATATTCGCACTTGATTCTTCTGTCTGCTCACACTTGAACAGAAGAATCAAGTGCTAATATACACGATTGGTCCAGCCTCACATGGTTTTCACCAGAGACTGTCTCTTCAAGTTACATAATACAGTATTTAAAAAATGAACTAGTTATTGGAAGGGTTTATTTATTTTTTTTTTTCTAAATCAAACCTCTTCTTGATCATTCAAATTTATTTGCTTGGCCCACCAATTTTGAATTATCAAGAGTATACTGTATTTAACAGTGTTATCAATTTGAGAGTGGTGATCTTCAAATAGTTTATTTAAACCTTTAAGCTGAGTGTAAAAAATTTTATGATTTTGGATACAGTCATTACCAGAGTGTCACCTTGAAGATAAGTTATCACCAATATGACAGTTAAGCCCAACCCATCAAGTGATCCACAAGCAATATGCATGATGTATTACTTTCAACTCTGTAAGTAACATTTCAGTCAAATGGCAGGTGTAAGAGATACAAGTGAAAGTTCTGCATCCATTTTATCCAGAATTGAAAAATTTGTTGAGTGCCCGATGTGTTTAGGACCTGCTAAAGTTCCTTTTAAACTGTGCTCTAGTGGTCATATTGTATGTTTATCATGCACCATCAAGCTAAGTCAATGTCCTACATGTGAAGGGCCGTTCATATTGGAAAATCCAGTTTGTCTAAGAAATATACTAGAAGCTCTGCCTCGCCATTGTATCTACAGCAAAGATGGATGTGGGGAAATTGTGAAACCAGGTAATGTTCATGAGGATTTCTGTGGCTACAGACCGATTGTGTGTATATACCATAGTAGGCCTACTGTTAAAATGCCAGTTGTGAAGGTATTGGATCATTACAAGGAACATCATGGAAGTATTCCCATCATTACAGAGAGATCTGTAGAGGGAGTAGGTTTGTCATGTTTATGGACGTGCGCTCCATGGATGTGCATTCCAGTATGGTTGTTTGACAATTTGTTTTGGATTCTAAGGTTTTGGAATCAGAAAGATGCTCACTGCTACATATACTTTGTGGCAACACCAATTGGTAAGCTCGACCAAGATTACTATGTTCGTTTTACATTGAAAAATCGGGATTTTGTTTTAACTAACACATTGAAAGCTAAAGTGTCAGATACTCATCTTACGTTCCATGAAAAATTGGGAGTGAACATACAAATGTCAGATGAAAATGAAAGATTTCATATGAAAATTTCAACTTGGCAAACACCTGTTTTTAATTCCAAAACAAAGATTGCAGAAACAAAACTGTTTTTCTTTAATACGTTAAAAGACTGAAGGTAGGCCTATAGATAGTTTTGAGTGCATTTCAAGTTACACCAAACATTTAAAAATCTCCCTTCATGTTTGAAGCAATCAATCAACACCTTTTTAAGCAGACTAGGAGGAAATTAAAAATTGTATATTCAATGTAATTGTAAACTGAGACAAGATTTAATAACTCAACTCAGGTTTGGAGAACCAAGGGTCATGAGATGAATCATTAGTTTAAAGGAAGTAAGAGAAGTAAAATATTCCATGCCACAGGGATCAGTGTTGGGTCCACTCCTGTTCTTACGCTACTACTTGGGAGGGATGCCTAAACATGTATCTGACCATATAGTCAGTTATTAAATCTTGATTGCTTTATTGCATGTATACATGCAAACATAAGGTAGGAATAGGATGAATCTATACTATTCATCCTATTCCTACCTTATGTTTGCATGCAGATGACATAAGCACAACAGTTCATGGTATTGAAACTTATATATTGAAGTTCTAGAAATAAAAAATAAGTTTCTATATCAGTACCTACTTAAATAATAAAAAAAACCTCCTACTTAAATAAACAACCTTGAAAAAATATAGATGTATACATTAAAAAAAATAATTTTCCTTATAATTTAGTCATAAAAACAAAATTTTAAGCCTAACAATAGATAGTGCACTTGATAGGACCACACATGTTAATAATATTTGTAAAAACAAATTGTCTCTGTTATTTTTGTAACTAGATGCCTATAGCCTATCCGTTGAACAGAAAAATAACTTTGCGAACAGTTTACTTTGTCAACATACAGATTCATATTTCATACGGAATAGAGATTTATGGAGGAACAAGTGTAAATTAAATGAAATTATACATTAAATGTAAATTTTACAAAAGGAATCTATAAGAGGCATCCTTAACCTGGATACAAATTATTGTATTAAATGATTTTTGAGGATTAGAATTATTGACAGTTTACAGCCTCTATATTTATAAAATAAAATTGAACGTAAAGAACCATGAGTCAGAGTTAAAAAAAAAAAAAAAAAAAAACAGCAAGACAAACATAATTACCACAAGATTTTTTATCGTATAACTATTGTAATGTATACAATAGTGTAAATTACTAAATTATGATGTACAATATTGTGTATAAGAAATTGCAGTAAATATTCTTGTATAATATATTTGTTTTATCATTAGACTGAAAAAATTAATATAACAATGACGCATCAATGTAGCCTATGCTTGATATGTGTTGAATAAAGATTTATTTGATTGGTTGATTGATTGAGGACAATATTATAAAATGATTTTTCTTGTAAAATATGTTTGTGTGTTTGTAAACTTAATCTACCCTAAATTGATTAGACTTATCCGTCTTCAAAGGATAAAATAACTCTACAAGTGATTAGGGAAATTTGAGGATTTCCAAGTTCAGAAAAACGAGTACTAATGAATTTTGGGAGTGAAGTTTTGAAAATACCAAATAAAAATATGCCAGAAAGAGGGAATGAGAATTGAAATTATTATTAACATCAACTACTAGTTATAGATCTAACTGAGCAAAATTGAAAGCATAAATGGCCTAAAATGCTAACTTGATCCATACAAAAACAAAAAAAAAAGTTTAAAATTGATATCAAAATTTGTAAGAAATTAAAGTTTCATGTCTCTAGCTCATCAGGAAGTTAGTGTAAATTTGATTGCAAAATTTGTACCGGACAAGAAAGCGAGCTAATAAAAACGTTTAAAAATATTATAGTGTGAGGATTATCAGTGTGTTATTTTACAGTATAATGTGAGCGACAACTCAAACGAATAGGTAAAGGTATTGACTCATACTGTACATCAGGAAAACATTGTGCAGTCAAACCTTTCCGCTGGGCTATCAGATTTAGAAAAGGTGGCATCGGGTGGTCAGAGTACAGGGAGTCATTTTTAAAAACTTGTCCCGATGAAAAACTTCCCTGTTGTCATTTCACCATTTCTTTTGTCTCTGGTTGTATCCAAACTTAATTTAAATCTTTTTTTTCAACACAAAAACATATGGATTAATAGGTCAAATTTGAACCACTCTCAGTGGTATATATTTGCATTGTTTGTACTGTATTTTTGTCTCCAGAGAGTATTTTTAAATCAAGAATGGTTATGCTAGACGTTTGAACATCCATCACTACTCTCATCCAGCTGGTTAGATCTACAGTAACTCACTCTGTTGTCTGTCTGAGGCACTCTCACTGTCCATGGCAAGCGCTTGGAACACTTCAAAGTCGCTCCGTTTCACCGTGACAAGGTTGTTCTTAGAGCCCATCCCGTTGTCGGTTATTCTCTACACAAAGGTTGAAACAAGTTTAAAATCTCTTCTCAAATTTATGTCTAGAACCAATGTTTTTTAAATAATGTAAAAAAAGAAGAACTTAATGTACTGCAGACGAAAATACCTTTGCAAGATTTTTAACTGATACTTGTAAGAGAATCTGATGAAACCAACAAGTATCAACAAATAACAAACCAGCCTCTTATTCTGAAGAAAGCAAACTTATAGTTTCTAAAATTACCTCACAAGTTGACACTGGTGCATTATGGTACAAGGTAGGAACTTACGAGGTTATAAGTTTTAGGCTAACATTAACGGAGTACAGCAGACTATTTTGAAAAATCACTTTAAAACATCATTCTCAGGCTTACTAATATAACTTCACCAAAGGCAACAAATTATAAAATTGATGAAATGAAACAAAAGATATAATATACTTAGTTCATATACAGTACAAGTTAAAAAATTTGATGATTGGAGGAAAAAAACCTCTAATGCATTAAGTTCAAATTAAAATACAAAGAATCTTATGATGTCGTTTATGGCTGTAGCCTCCAGGTACGATGAATGACTGCATTTGTTTAAAAGCCTGATTCTGCGTAATCCAATTGTTACTTATTGCCTTAACTAGTTAAGACTTGTCATAGAAGTAAACTTTTTTTACGTTAGGTGATGAAGAATATCATAGTCATGACTATATCTAACCTACACGGTTGTGTAACATTGTTCAACAATGTCGTTGTTGGTATGTAATTGTTTACATTTGTATTTGTCTGTGTCTGTCTAACAATTGGATTGTGCAGAAGCAGGTATTTAAGCAAACCTTGATGTAATGTAGCTAGAACAATATGTCCAAAGTTACAGAATAAGTTGCAAATTAAAAACCTTCAAAGTCAATCAATAGTATGCCCACCTAAGGCAAAATAATTTATTTTACATGTTGTTGAGAAATGTCTTAAGCAGGTCACAAATATCCATCTAGTCACTTTTCAATCAAAATATTACCTACTTTGTGATAGGCCTTTGTTAGCTATCATAAGTTTCGTTGCTCTGAATAGCTTGGAAGAAAAGGGACAACATCAAGCAAAGATTATATGCATCGCTCAATTTATTGAAGAATCCAACAGCTAAGGTGAGTTGTGTAATTCTTTGATAACACATTATTGGCACTGATAACCCTCCTTAAGTGCCGGTAAGTGCTTGCACTTGATAAAAGGTTATAAGTACCAGGTGTGACATAAACCTTTGATAACAGAAAGAAAATAATACCATCATAAATTATGTCAATTTGCTGTTATCAACTTGAACTAAGCTTAAACAGAATTAAATCATCTTACCGCGCCAGGATCATATTTCCAGTCTCCATCCACATAAAATTTGTACTGATGTTCACCTTCAGGTAAATCAATTATTGTCACAAAGTCTCCATGGCTGGAAAAATGATTAAACAATATTATAAAATAGAGGATGCTTCTGTGCATCTGGTTGGCAACCAAACTGGCCTGCAGACAACCCTTTTACAATCCTATTAGCAACGTTTTTGTGAACACCCTAGTTCAATTTTAAAAGACATCAATTTAAAATACATACAAAGTCGTTGGTATTTATAATCTGACACTAATTTCCCCAGTTCAAATTACTAACATCAATTTAACAAACATGTTTTCCTGGCTCATTTAAAACTACAATTTTTACGGTTTGTGAACTATAAAATAAATGTCAATCAATAGTAGATTTAATACTTTTCAACCAGTATTGTTCTATCATGTCCTCAAAGACAACATCACTGATGAGATGTTGAGATAGAATAAAAATTAAGTAATAGTGGTATTTGTGGACAGGTAAGTTTACTGATTCACCCTGCATCAAGCCACAGTGATACAAACGACAATGAATAAACTGTCAATAAATGAGTACCGGTACATTATACATAAACACAAAAATCAAACCTACCTTTTCACCATGGGTAGAGGCAACCAATCAGAAAAAGTCCCACTTATCATCACATTTTTCCCTCCTCCTTCCCATTTGAACACTGTTGGTAAAACTGTATCATCAATTCCTGTTGGGATTTTGGATCCTTCAGAAAGAGTTGCAGCCCTTTTCCTAGGAGCTCCAATTTCATTATCCTACATTTAGAAAACCCCTTATTAGACTTGTTAAAACCAATGAATCCACATAAATACATGATCATTAAGTTAGTAAGATAATTCAAATTTAAAAATATTAATACATAGTAAGGTTCAAATAACTAAGGTACTGTTAACTCGCTGTGAACTAAGGTGTAATGGTCTCAGACTGCTTTATGATGTGATGACCACTGGTTATGGCCATAAAAATTTATATTTTCAAGTTAATACCAAGCTAAAACAAGCTAAACTCTCGATCATAAATGTAAAGAAGGTTGGTTATAATATAATCCAAAACACACAAACATGATGGCATAACCTGAGGACATTAAGGCGTTTTAATCTTATCATGAGTATAAAACATTATCCTAAAGATATAGAATCATGAGCTGGTATCAATAACTAATTATATTCTTCAAACTTTATTCATTTCTATAAACAATCTATCCTTAGTTACTTTAAGATATTGTCTGATTACGCTAGGTACTAGTGTAATACATTCATAGAAACTTTTAGGTTTACGAAATAGTAAGCCAAATATTTTGATTATAGATCGTTTAAATTAGAATGGCATGGAAGAAGGGTGGTGAGAGAGACCTAATGTGAGAATCTTCATGTAGGCTATAGGGTATTAAATTAGCTTGAATGGCAATTTTTAAGATGATGATAGAAGTAGTTCAAGAGGTAGGGAGATCCTCCTTTGTTGCCCAATGTTTTCACAATGGAATCTGTAGGCAGCTGTCCCCTGAGTGATCTTGATGTGCAGACAATTGGAGTCACATTTAGGGCTTTTTAGGTCATCCAAATACTTGCCTATCTAATAATCACAGAAACCCTTGCCGACAGACTGACACCGCCCACCACCACCCACCACTGCTCGAGCGAACACCATTACCGCAACGATACGTTGTACAGCCATCGGTCTCGGTGGTGTAGTGAATAGCGCACCGGGCTGATAATTCGAAAGTAGCCGACCGGTTCGAAACCCACCGGAGGCATTAACTTTTTGACTCGATTTGTTTCATTATCAGCAAGTTTGGTTGGTTTGGTAAGGTTTATGACAGTTAAATTAATTTTAACCTACAAACGATACGTTTTGACAGCGACAGTGATAGAAATAACAATTTCCCACGAACAGTTCGGTTATGCACGGTATGATGCGTTCTGCACGGTGCGGTGTGGGCGGTGGCGGTCTGTCGGTAACATCTCGTTATAATCACTGGGTGCAATGATCAGCTGTCTGAACGCCTCATTGGGCTTTGGACAGCTGCTCATTGTGTCAGTGATGATGATAGGCAAGTATTCAAATAACAATGCCAATAATAACCATGTGAAATTATAATTTTAAGTACTGCCAAAACAAGTACAAGGTCTTCTAATGGTATGATCCATATATAAATTATTTTGTGCTTAGCCCATTGGTTCCCTTTACCAACGCAGCCATAATTTAATAATATTGCCATAGGGTGGACCTTATACCTATATATAGTTGACAAGTGACAACCTCCGTTTGTTTGCATTGAGATTTAGTGCTGTAAGTGGAGGTTTAGTTACATTATTCTAGATGGCTGATGTACATAGGCCTTTAAAGTTGAACATTACATTTCTGAATTTAAATAGCCTGAGCTCACTTTATTAAGTTACCTTAGCGCTCTATTGCTTACTGACTTTCCCATGTCAGGGAAAAAATACTTTCCCATGTCCATGTCTGGGAGAAAATAACACTCTACAGAAAATAATATGTTATTAGAAAGTGACACAAACAAGAAGTGCCAGTAATTAGTACTGTACGATTACTTATAACTTCTTGATTGATAAATTCTCTCTCGTAAAAAGCGGACGGTAGCAATGTATGTACTAGAATTATAACTACTTTTGGTGTCTTATCATTATTGTGGCTTGTGTCACTTAATTAAAGTTTAGTATACATATCTACAGAACTTGATCTATGTTTTACGGTTCTCATATCTATTGACAGAGGTAACCAGGGCTGCCACCTTTGGTTAGGAGAAAACTCGGGACATGCCCCTCTCTCCCCAGATTAACATAAGCATAAACACGGACATAAAGGGCTTTTTACACCAGATTCCTGGATGTAAAGTACCCTAGGCAACATTTTTGTTTAAACAAAACGCTGCGAATGATATCAAAGGAGACCGTTCACACTGATTTTTTTCCATGAAAGCATTGATTCAGGAAGTGCGTAGGTAGTCATCCTGTAATCTGGGACACAACTCTACAAATATGGACAGGGACCAGGTTATGAATAACGTTGCATGGTAGGAGATTGCTGCAAATTGCTCTGTGGCTGCAAATCTTCAGAATGATAGTAGGTTGTAATTTAATTAAGTTACATTAGAGCATAGATCATAATCGATCATTGACAATGCTTCGTCAAACTTATCTGGAGTTAATCTAATAAGTTTTGAATCTATCTTCATAGTTCCAGATCATGAAGCAAGTTATGGTAGGCATATTTTCCAAAACTAATTCGTTTTTTATTGATATGGAATGAATACACTTAGGGTATACTCCTTTTTGTAACCGAGTATAACAATACTATGTCGTCAATATCGCTATCACTCAGTTCGTTAATCCATGGAACGGAAAACCCAGGCTCACACCAAAGAACTTGTAGGCCTATGTTTAATATGTTAAATATCATTAATATGTTGTGATGATATGTAAACACTGGAAACAAGACTTGAGGTCATGTAGTGATCTCTTTAAATTTTAAAACATGTAAAAGGCAGTTTATGACTATGAGGGACTTCTCAGAAAATAAAACTTAGCCTATAAATACTTATATAAAACTAAGGTAGGCCTAGGCTATAAAAAAATTATCTTTGGAATTCCTTTTAAAAATACTCACCGAAGCATCACGTCCTTTGGTAAAATACGGTTCCTCTTCATCATGGGATGACTGAAATACTAGTTTATTATTTGGTTTTTTGTCAAATACAAAAGCTTGTTCTTCTTTGCTTGGTGAGTGAGGAGCACTAGGTTCCCCAGGCTTTTGTCTGTCTCGACCAGGTCCACTACCAGCATTACCCATGGTTTAGGTTTACTTAAATATTTATTTTCTAGCAGTTAATATTACAAACACCTTACATGAATCTAATTTTCATCCCTAACTGAAATTTGGAATAAAATAAACATAAACTTAACCTTACCCTATGACATTTGCTGAACTGCGCTTTGTTTAGATTCTTTTCTGCTATCACGTGACTATTATTTTCATCTATATACAGACTATTAAAATATTGTAAGCATTGGTCTCTATCACTGAGGTATTATAAATCTCATATTTATATTTATAATTTTGACATAGTTTATATAATTTTTAATCCAAAATATAATATTTACGATTGAAAACAATTAATCGAGTGATCATTTTGATTTACGGATCCTTACTGTAATCGCACGGCCGTCTTTAACTCCCGTCCATTTCAATTTCATAATAAAGTACAAACTAATATTATTAGTAAATCAGCTGAACGCCCAATGCAAATCTAATGGAAATTACAAGTTACAAGTTGTAACTTGTAGTTTATTATGAAATGGGCCCCAGGCTGCGGCCTTCGAATTGGCAACGTCGCAAGTGGTGCTGAAACAGCTATTTAATTTGGCAGCAGCTAATGGTATTTGTGTATATACGAAAGCTTGTTTACTAGACTATAACAATATTGACTCCACTTTCAAATTACAAAAATTTATTTTTTATTTAAATATTGTTTTTCCTTTCAATTCTATATGTTTTATTTTCAATAAGTTAATATTGCACTTGCAACGTTGCCACTTCGAAGGCCGCGGCCTGGAGTTAACAGCGGCAGTGGTGCAACAAATTCTTGACCAGGCACTGTGGGTGTGGAATTATGACTATAAGACTGAGGCCCCTACACATTTAATCCATGGTTATAAGATCTCATAACCTCGATGTCTTATACAACTAGTCTGTCTGAAAGTCAACTTCTTCTTTTATGCTATGTTTGTTTGTTTGTGTTCTTTTTTTTAAATATCAAAACAAAAACAACATTGCCTTGTGTGTTTTCTGCTGAAGGTAAACCTAAACTTAACTTATACATTTTAAACTTTAAAGCTCATCATAACACATAAGGTTAATCATAATTTAATCATTATTAGGTTCGTTTGAGAAATTAACTCCTTAGAGGTAAGTGTTAAACTAGTATTAACACGTTCTCTACCAATCATCACACTCATTTAGTCATTTGTATGTGAGGGCTGAGTATAGTGAGTAGCCTATAGATGGTAGCTAATGTTTTCTTACTGCCCAAGTTCTAGATTCAATGAGGAGTATGTTTTGTCTATGATTCAATATAGCAAATTCAACTTTTTAGGGTTAAAAATTAAACCCTCCAGTTTTGTTGTAACTTAGATACAAAAACTGGGGTACAGTTTCTTAACTGGGCTATGCTAGGCTATTATTGATTGAAACTATTAAATTGAAAATATTGATTAATAATCAATATTTTTAAATGTATTTATTGTTGAATAAAACTATCCTAACCTAACCTAACCAACCAAACTTGCTGATGATGAAAAAAATCGCATGAAGGTTTACTAATGGAATCGATAGTTTCAATCGATATTAGCCTACCCAGCATAGCCCAGTTAAGAAACTGTACCCAAAAACTGTTTCTCCCTCTATTTTCTATTCACTTTATCTTATTTTACAAATGTTTAGGTTCAAGTCAATGACTCTAGTGTAGGCGATGAACTGATGAGCATCGTAGTTCAACCATTGATGTCAGCGATTGATGCACCTGATAACATCGTGGCGAAAACATCAAAAACATCATCACGTTTTAGGGGCTAAAACATTGATGTTAATTGATTTTTTTTTAGTTTTTTAGGCCTATCAGTTTTCTGTACTGCCTCATATAAAAACCTATTGACTTAAGTCACTAACTACTTTACTATCATTGATTAAACACTCCCTTGCTTTGGTGAGTCTATCTATGTTAGACGTTCTAGATTAGCAGTTTTTATTTCACATTTGCAAGACAAAATAAATATTGGTAAGTTAGTAATTGATTGTGCTGGAGTGCAGGAGTACTGCCACTGAATTTATTACAAATAACTTATGAAATTGATTTTTAGGTAGAAATTTTGAACAAACACTTCACAAAAAAAAATAGATAGTAAGTTAGTTATCTCACTTACTCTACACTTTTTAAGTCTAGTCAAGACCCCACTATTTTGGGTCTTGGTCTAGTCCAGTTTGCGAAAATTGTTTATTCAATATTTCATCAGCCTTTCAATAGAATAAATTGTAAAAGCAAAAATTCAAATCTGTTAAGACCAACATTTAAATTTTCTTAAAAACTAACTTGAAACAATTCTATGGGAAACATCTATATTTCAATACTTGGCCAAAAACATCGATGTTTGACCAAAAATCGATGTAGATTACATCGAACATGGATAGAAAAATATTGATGTTTCGAAAACATCGATTATCGATGCTCATCCCTACTCTAGTGGGACAACATAAAAAAATCTGAATTGATTAAACTAGATGCACCTTTACAATGGTAGGCCTAAACCATTGTAAAAGTTTCACTCTTAAGCGGCCCACACACTAGGGCGCTTGTGCGCGCACATGTGACACGCGAACAGCTCGACGCGCATGCGCCTCAATGTGTGGGTAAATGTGCCCATGCGAGGTGCCTGGTGCCTGCCGCCGGACCTTCGAGCATCGTCACAAGTGCGCGAGCTTGCTATGATGCGCGCCAGTCTGTGGGAAACCGAGGCACATGTTCGCGAACTAGCAGTACAAACCATAGCTGCATATACTGTAAATCGGGAACTACAAGGTCTGCGCCTACGTGGCACAGTGTACACTAACTACTGCCCAACGTGTTGCATTTTATTTGTCCTTGTTGTTTGGTTATTATTGACTTCTTTGTTGTGCGGTTTCCTTTAATGGCATAAGAAAGATTTGGTCTGACTTTATTGAGCTTTATAGATCACAAACGTGTTCTTGGGACGTGGAAAGTGTAAACTTTTCAAACAAATAAATGAGAAAATAAATTATGGAGCTATTGATAACCAAATGCAAGGGGGTGTTTCCTGACAGTGACGATAAGTTTGTGAAGACTGAAATTAACTCATTGAGATATTAATATCGATGTGAACCAAATATACTAATTAAATCTAAGTCTATAAACCTCATACTCTAAAAACGACCCTTATACCCTTATATTAAATAATACAACCCTCATATTCTTTAAGAGGCGGTCGGACAGAGATTCTCGGCTGCCGGACCTGGCCGTCACTTTAACATGGAGCGCATATAATAATTCCTCGTTTTCTGGTCTATCCGTGTTCCAAAAATTATTTCCCACACTCAAAACATTGTAAATGTATGTAGGATTAAGACTGTACAATATAAAAATCATAATGTTTAATTATAAGCCGGATATAAAATAAATCATTTCTTACATTTCCCATAAGGAATTGCAATACTTTCTGCTAAAATATAAAATGACTGGAACTATAAACGATTCTGGTTCAAACGCCATATTGAAGAGCATATATTCATTAGTGTATTGAGTGTGACAGATATTTATTTTTCGATGGTTAACATTAAGTTTTGTATTATTTTGTAAAAGCTTGCAAAAAAGCCTTGCTTGCGGACTGAGTACTAGTTCGACGATGTCCCGGCCGATGGCAGCACAGTCGATTGTGGACTACAGAGCACGTTTTCAAACCGCGTCAAATACAATTCATTTAAACTGGCCACAGATCTGTTTAAATAAATAAATAACGTTATGTCGTTACATCCCTGATGTATTATAATGCCAAGGAAATGATGATATTTAATTCACAGGACTCTAAGAATCTAATATTTTCGGACTGTGTATTTACCGTATGTATTAAAGTATTACTGTCATCAGAGATAAAAGTAGTTCTACAACACCCGGTTTGATACAAACTATTCATCAATACAAGTTCCGTTACAAGTTATTCCGTTATAAGTTCAATTTACAAGTTCCGTTAGAATAAACGTCTCTTTTGGTCATACTTAGTACGTTAATTACGGACTTAGCTGTGTAAAGCTGTGTAAATAGCTGCTGCAATACACGGTTTGATACAAAATATTTCCCAAAATGAAAACAAGGTCCAGTGGAACAAAAGCATTTTCTGACATACGTGGTATATACGATCAAGGTCTTCCAGGAACCAAATCCACCCTCCGGACCAGCACTGCGTCGTAGCCAAGCCGGCTTCTGACTCATGGATTATCTTGGAATTGCGATGTCCCGTTTTAGGTCTATAATATTCGAGCTAAGATAAAACCCCAAGTGCCCATCCGAAATCCTATTTATATATTAGAGGCACAGGATAAGGCAAAATCTAGAAAAAACATCCAGAGCCAGATTGCAACTTCAAATGGCGTTGAAACGTAAAAATACGACACATAGGACCTACTGTTTTTTTTTATTTTTATATTTAAATCGTTCCATATATCTATATAAATAAAATACAGTTTTGTCTCTAGGCCTACATTTCTTAGAATCATGCAGTTTCTGGTTACATTATGTTTCATAGCCAAAGAAAGTCGAAACGAGTCTTATCTCAATTTCTGTCTGTCTGTCCATTCTTTCATTCTGTCAGTGACGCCAAAATGTCATTTTACGCGGTCTACTCCTAGAAAACTAGAATACCGATCAAGGTTCAAATCATTTTTCTGTATTTACTGGATTAGTGAGTTTCTTTGGCTATAAAAACATGGCCCCACTTCCTTGAAAACAAAATAACGAACCATCAAAACCCCAATTTTGTTCGATTTTTGCCCAATTTTCTTCCAATGTTTACTATTAAACTTTTATGAAATAACGACCAGCCATTTGGATTAGTTCTCACTTCTAGCTGTCACATATGATATGTTTACATTAAATACTGTTTACAAATACCACAACCATTTCTGATCAAGTTTTGTAAGCACATCCAAACCAAGTGGGATTAAAAACGTTGTTGCCTTACTTAGCCGGTTTAATTAATCGCAAGTGCAACGATTGTTCTTGAGTTTTGATAACCGGGAAAAGGCCGTGAATCAGTGTTGTATAGTGCTCAGTGCCGGGAATATACCGATCATCGTTTAGAGATTACGTAATCTTTCAAATAAGAACCCTTTGTTTGGATAAGGGTTTTTCTTCAAACTGTCATTAATATGTCAACATTAAAAGCTGCTTACAAATAATGCTATTAATGAGAAATAACTTTGATTTTCGAAAAAAAAATCCAAAACCAAAGGGGATTAATAACTTCGATACTGTTTGAATAGGTTTGAATAGGCGAAACATGTTGTGAGTTCTACTTACTACAATTAAACTGTTGACGTAAAGGTACGTACCTCATATTAGTCTAATTAATCAGTTCAGGGGCTACATCATGAATTTTAATTTTACTTCGATACTGATACCAAGATACCACATCAAGTGAAAGATTTTTTGGGCAAACCATAATGAATTTTTAAAGCTTTACGTTGTCAACGTATCAATGTTTTGTGGACTGTGTATTTATTTACTTATTTATATATTTGCCGACGGATTTACACCAATTTTACAGTTTGATAAGGATTAGGCCTAAATACGATTATCATAAAACTTGATGACACTATAAAAACTTTTAAATAAATAATTTTGCTTGTAATTTGCTTTGGTTAACGCGTAGCAAATCCCCTAATTCAATTCTGTATTTCTGTGAGTATGTCTGTTGATAACGCATTAATGTGCTTAATTCTCAGTGTTTCGTGGAAAAGACAAGAGCACCTTTGTTAATAAAAATTTCAACCTGAATAAAGTGTGCAGTAGTGAGGTTGATGTAGTATTTTAACTATTTTAAACCAGTGTGAAAGGTAATTTCAATTACAGGCCTACGTTAGGGCTATGCCTGATAGATCTAAAAGAAATTCCTTCTATCATTAGATATAAAATATGGACTAAGACGGTCGGGTGAGTGATATTATATTGCGAAGCACTCGTATATTCAGTCTTTTGTAAACATGTTCAAACATTTAGTATGTTATAGTCTTTTATATTTTGAACAAAATGGTACAAATCCCATTTCTGTAAAAATTACGGTTCAAAAGTTATTGTAAATTATGTTATTTTCCCATAAAAACCCCATAAAATAACAAAAAAATCGGATTTTCCCAAAATTGGCTCGAAAAATTTTGTTAAAAATTTAGTATTTTAAAGTCCTTTAAATTCTGAACAAAATTGTACAAATCCCATTTCCGTTTATTTACTCTCACCGCTTACACATGATAAAGGTTGTTGGAAACCTTGGTTGGTTTGGTTGTTGACAAACTTATGGGAGAAAGTATGTGTCAGAATGCTGATACCGTTTATTTAAGCTCTTTATAAAGGCCTTTAGAGAAATTGGGAAATTTAGTGTTTAGAGGGTCAAAAATTAGAAAAAACAATTTTTACCCCATAAAACCCCGTTCCCATGGTCCGATCATGCTGGTTCGCGAACTCATTCAAGTTTATCCCGCCTCCCGCCTTACACCTTCAAACAAAATTTCATCAAAATCGGACAAAAATTACTCAAGTTTTCGTGTTCATGGACACACATGTATATAAAAATTTGAACGAATGGTGTTTTTGGCCTCTGGGGACATCAAAATGATAAAGTAAATCGGTTCCGGGCGTAGGTCTTACCATGCTACTTACTTATAGCTACCTCATTAGGTACAGGGAAATTCGCTAAAATGTATGGGATAGGCCAAGTAGTTACATTATTGAGCCCAGTAGCACTAGTATATTATTTATAATTGAATACATTATCATGTATTTTTATATTAAAATACATGTGGATACATCGAAATGTCTTACTGAAAGTGCTATTTGTATCTCCAAAACATTTGTTGTGTGGAAAATTAGCATATTGTGCGGTGACGAACTGAGACCTGCTGAGACGCAAAGGGTGGGTGAGCGAAGGTAGCAAACCAGTGAAAGTGAAACGTGTGGTGGGACAATAGACAAGGGCTAGGACACAGGCTGAGGGTAGTCGAGTTGATGCTTTCAAGTTTCTAGGTAACACAGGGTTGTCAACAATCTTAGATCCCGTTATGCGACAGCCACGAAACTGGTGGCCAAGGGTGGTACTATTACAAAAGTCTGTTTTGGGAGGACTGTGTTGTTGCTCGTGACGCCTGCAAAATATGGGATACGGGACTCTATCCGACCGCCTCTTAATAACTTATTTCCCAAAACCCCAAAACCATAATACATACAACTAATAACTACCCAATTAATTAGTAGTGTATAATCAAATCCGTTTTTTAAGGCAAATTTTATTCTTTAGTGACTTTGCTTGCAACTCTAAAAAAATGTCCATGTTAAAAAAATGCAAAATAAAAAAAATAGTAAAAATTAACATGGTGACGATACAAAGGAGTTTATTCGAATGATTTCAAAATAACTGTTGAATTTGCTGTTATAGCCCACTATTTTCATGGTCAAAGACGGTGGTGCGCGCGCAACCAATTGAATCGCACATGTGCCTAGAGCCGCTCACAGTCACCTCACCACGAGCCACGCAAGGCACATGCGCGCTAGTGTGTGGGCCGCTTTAGTATTACCCCTCCGTCGGTCGCACCTATTTTCTTAACACAACTGGTCGCACTAGATATCTCTCAGAGTCAGCATTTTTCCTTAAACATTTTTTTTTGTACTTTAGACATATATTTCCCCCCTAATTTGTATTTACTTTATATAACAACTCTTGACCTAAGCTATAGACTTCATACATATTTCACACCCAGGGCCGTCCCTAGGGTTGGCGGTGCCCGGAGCAAACGTGGTCGTGGCACCCCCTCTCCCCACAAGTAGTAATTGCATTCGCATATTTTTAATACTATGTTAATACAAATAGCCGCGGAACGGCACCCCCTCAGCCACGGCGCCTGGGGCAGGTTGCCCCCCCCCCCCCTTCGGACGGCCCTGTTCACACCGTCTAAGCATTTCTCAATTACAGTAGAACTCCAACTAACCGAATATCCGAATCGCTTATTTCAACAATTTAAAAAATGTAAAGTAATAATAAGTTTCGCAAAATATCAAAGAATTGTTACTGGGCCTAAACAAATTTAGCCACTGTGTAATTTTGGACTTTTATGGAACACTATTAGGCCCCCCCTAACTTAATAACATGTATAGAACACTTGTGCTATGAGCATTGTAAAATGTAAAAATGTTCTGATTTAATTTATTATTAATTAAAAGTTCATTTAGTACCGAAAATGAGGATTTTTCTTGGAAATTTCCGGAATTCCTGTAAAACTCCGACTATCCGAATGGGGTCTGGTCCCAATTAGGACGGATAGTAGGAGTTCTACTGTAGTAAGTTTACTTAGATACTTGGAGAATTCCCACTGGTATCGCATCAGCGACGTGGTCGTCAGGTTTTTATACATTTCTTCATATTAATTTATATAGATGGATTCATTTCCTCTTCAAGATTGTACATGGCCTAGACATATATTTCATCAACACTGTAGTAGGCCACTTGACTTAAGAATGTTTTTAGCAGGTTCTTGAATTTGTTGATAGAGGGCTCTTGTGTGATGTACTGAGGCAATTTATTGTAAATTTTAAGTTTAAAACAAATTTGTCAGACCATACACATTCCATTAGATAGGTTACAGTGCGACCATGCCCGTCACACTGTATGTAAAATTAAACTCAACGTTTTCTTTGCAGGATGAAAACAGTTTTATTTATTTCTATATTTATTGGAACTACCTAGTTTGTGTATGATATAATATCATATAAAAACAAGACCAGTCCCGTTTTTATTTTGAAATACATCACAAAATAAAAACAGGACCGGTCACACTGTATCTATCAGATACAATAAAGCAAAAAAATGCATATGTGTGCAAGAGTCAAGAGACGACGCAAACAATGATACTGAGGTGTGAAGGGGAAGGGTAGGAAGCAGCACAGTGGCCAAGACAGGATTTGAGGCAATTTTTCATGTTGTGGTATCTAATAGATAAGGTGCGACCGACGGTTAAGATCCTGAACCAAGTTATAAATGTTCAAATTTCAACAAAAATATGTCTTTATTAAATAATTCTGTATTAGTTTAAGGTCAACAAGAATAATGAAGTTCACTTGAAGGCACTTGTTAAATCAACGATTCACTTACTAGGCAGTTTGAACTGTATGTTGTGTACTTAAATAAGTGAGATTTGAGGAGGATTCAGTGTGAATGCTTTGCACGGGTCAGCTAGTTTAGTTGTAACTTATTTAGAAAGAAGATCATTATTTCTCTTAAAATCATCTAGGTATAATTCTTAGGTTTCTTTATTATGTTAATATTGTTATGCCAGTGTTTTTTTTCCTCTTAGCCAGTCTGACACGTGGGACATTTAGTTTAAAAGAATATTATATGAGTCAGCATATTTTATTGTGTTGTGCATTGTAATTTTAATTATTGTAATACTTGTATCAATGGGATAAAATAAATATTCTTATTCTTCTTATTCTTATTCTTAAAGATTTAATTGTTTTTTTTTCACTCTTCTAAGTCTGTGGACCTGAGATCTCGTGTACCTGGTTCTTGCTGTAGAATTAGCCTAGACCCACTTCCCATCACTTCCCAAGAAAAAATTTTAATACTTGAGAACTACCGGTACACATTTCTTTGAGAGTTTATTTTGTAATCCTTTAGATTTAGCCTTCTAAAGATCTAATCATATAAAAACTCAAATAGATAACTTTTGTTATTTAACTTTGTTTTTAATTTTAGCTCGACTGACTACTAAGAAAGATACTAAGAATTACTAAGATTTTATCTTTAAAGGTTAATGTAACATGTATTTCTGATTCCAGGAATTATCTGCTAACGTCTTTTTTCTTAAATAATGGCTGATAGGAACAAGATCCTTCTTGATGTTGATCCAACTCTTTTAGAAAACAATTTACTCCTGAAGGTACTGCTAAAATACTTACACACTTTAGTTTTCTGTCAGAAAAATATGCCTATTGTAAAATAGTTTATAAGTATATCCTACTAATATTATAAATGAGAAAGTTTGGATGTATGTATGGATGTATGTTTGTGACAAGTGAACGCGAAAAATACTGGTCGGATTGGGCTCAAATTTGGCATGATGATAGCTCACATTCCCGATTAACATATAGGCATTATTCTTATTTCAAAAATCCTTTCGGGCTCCGCCCCAGTGGCTCTGGAGTTTCCCATGTTAACCTTATGACAAATGGAATTATTGAATCTTAACAGCTGTTTCAATTAAACAAGTTGGTTCTGTTCTATTATGTTCAATAGCATTAAAGTTACAAGGATTACCAACAGGGTGCAGCACTATTATTTCTTTTACATTTATGACAACAGCTAATTTGCAACCAAAAGGTGAGTGAGCGTAGCGAACGAACTTCAACCTGGAGGCGAGTTAGCGTAGCGAACGAGCTAACCTGAAGGCAAGTGAGCGCAGCGAACGAGCTCCAACCTAAAGGACCGTGAGGACCGTAACCAGGACGTGATTGAGCCATGCGAACGAGATAATCTTGAAAATTAAGAAGTTAAACGGGGCAAAGCCCGCGGGTTACAGCTAGTAAGTGTATAAGTTTAAATGGTAATGCAGCATAATTGAGAACTATCACCGATTTTACCACAATACATTTTTTTTTAGGATGCACCTGATGACGATGACTTGGACAGTTTTATTTCCACTTTAAAGTCCAAAGGAGCCACTAATACGCCATGGAAATTAGTCAAACCAAACCCTGGTGAGTTAATATTGATTTATGTTCATTTTCAAAAGAAACTTTTTTAACATTTTGAATTGTCTTTTAAGAAAATTCTCTTAAACCAATGTATTTATACTTTATTGTAGGCCTAGGCGTATTGCTGATTGTTGTTGTTTTAAACAAAATCTTTGATCAATCAAACCAAACCATTTATGTAACACAGTAATTTCTAATACATAGTTTATAATGTTCTGCAGGCCCGGGAACTTGATATTTTCGAGTCTGGTCAGACCAACGGTTGGCACGAGAGATCTGTACGGGCAGAAAATGACTGGGCTGTTGGGCCAAGCTTGAATTGAGTCGTTCTAAACCCAGCGCAAACTATCCGCGACAAAGAGCATTTACGAAGATACACAACCGAAAATTGACGATTTTTCGTGGGAGATGATGATGTCCCGTGACCGCAGAAGATGTCCAAGGTTTTTTTTTGCCTCTGAAGATGCTCATGACTTCGCCGCGACTACTGATGCTATCAAGTTTGCCAAGACCGCAGAAGATGATCTTGATTTTTCCGTGACCGAGGAAGATGTTTAAGGATTTGTCAAAGTCGTGGATTTTGTTCATGTTTTTGCCGTGACTACTGAAGGTGTTCTCGATTTGACCGTGACTACTGAAGGTGTTAGGGGAGTAGGGAAGTAGCTATTACTATAGGTGGCACGGTAAGACCTGGAGCTGGCACCGATTACTAGAGGTCGTCCAGTGGTCAAAAACTCAACCAAAAATATGTACCTATGTACATACTTCTCTATTTTTATCCCACTCTGTAAATAAAACAAGTGATTGATTTTCTGATTATATTTTGTTGTTATTTCGTCAACAGCATGGCAACCCATAAGGCCCGTGTTAATTTTTAAAATTTAAAATTAATTTTTTGTGTTTATTGTTTAGCCTATTTTAATTTATAAAGAGATTAACTGCATATCTACAGGAAAATATCTGTCTAACAATATGCATAGATTTTCCCTGCGATGTACACGAGCTGGGTTTAAAGAAATATGCTTGCCTATTAATATATAGATTTTTCTACAGGATACTTCTTTGTCAGTTTTTCATCTTCAACCTTCTAACTTAAACCTTAATAGCATTCCATGACGAACAATATTTTATGTAATATAGGCATTCATAGAAGTAGTATATATAACTCTAGGATATATGATAAGTTCATGATAAATTACACTTACAGATTTAGTAGCCTGCATACAAATTTGTCAACAGGTTTTGTGGTAAAAACCCGGTCAGAGAGTGGTGAGAAGATTTTCCTCAACATTTGTCACACGGAAGACATTCCTCCACCACGAGAGTTGAGTGATGCAGAACTTATAAAGATTCTTGAGTCTGAGGAACCCTCGAGCTACCGGCTACCAATGAGCATCGGAGATTTACACCAAGAATCTGACAAATGTAAGTTCTAAACTTGGTATCAGAAACCCCTTCAAAACTAATTGAAGCATTGGTAGTAGCTGGCATAAATTTGTGGTTGTCTTTCTATGGTCTAGTTTTTTGTCACTTTATCACACTTTTGATACAGTAACGAAACTGAGGCTTATTTCACTCTAGATAAGGCTGGAAGGAGATAGCTTTGTTATTGATTAACACGTTCGCTGCTACGGACGTTACGGAATGTCAACCGGGCCAGGGCGCCAGGAGCTAGGAACGTTCCGGAACGTCACTGTTCATTGTTGTTTAACGTTTCCATGGATCAGCCAGCTCGTCGCGAGCATCCTATATTTCTTTGCAGCTCGTGGGGACGTACTTTTCTGACAATAAAAAATATAGTTTCCCAAAATCACCACCAGGGTCGTTTATAACAGGGCTTTGTTCCACCTATTTCCTGCTAGATAGCGACACTACTTTACCGACTGCAACCTGGGTAGTGCTGCTATCTATCAGAATCACTTAGTACTAGGTCCAAAGCCAGTTTTATTGTAGAACATTGTCATCAAGTATAACTAAGGTTGTTTTTACTGTAATTCAGTGTATCGGCGGCAATGTTATACGCAGCGGCGAGCGTTAGTTCAGCTCCTGGCGCCGTCCTGGCATCTAGCGGTCAGCAGCGAACGTGTTAATATCAGTTAACTATTGCTACAACAAAACTGAGCCAAATTAAAATAAATTGGAAAACTAGCTAGTGTAGAGGATCTGTCTATTGTGTATTTAAAAATAAGTGATCAAAAATCAAATTGTCTTTATTACAGCTGGAGCTCCATGTTCGGTGTATGACATCGCCATTAATACAACATTCTTCCACAAGGTGGAAACTAATCAGCTGTTCCGTTCGTTTCTCCTCACTGTGGTGCTGGGGGGAGTTGGGGACAAGTACAAGAAAGAAATAGATACCAATGGTAAGGTGTATTATGCTTGAGTCATAGATGTCAATCCAGATTTATTATATACTGATTAGAGTACATACTTACATATACAATGTGCATGGTTTTTAGTTTCACCACCAGATGATTTAAAAAATAAAACTACAGTAACCAAAATCAAAATTACAAGAAAGAAGAAAAAGAAGAAAGTAAAATTAATTCATTTTATGTGGCGATGCACAGGAGCTGAGAAAAACGGTTTTTAATAAACATGCTTGTCTATTAATATATAGAATTAGCCTCTTATTAAATCTCCATAAGAAAAGTTTAATTGCCATTTTTGACCCAACTAATATAAATATTTTCAAAGTACAAATAAAACCTGCATATTATATAGGACCAATAACCTTTCTTTCGGTACAACCCGCGTGTAATTCGGTCCAGCAGTATGGTCAGGCTAGCTGTCATAAGTTTTGCAAAAGTTTTTTTTAATAAGATAAAAACAACAAACTATTTCAAATGAGTGTGTAGATAAAACCGCAATCTTCTCTTTTAGCGAATTTCCCCTATAGGGAATGAGCTATTACCATAGGTCTCATAGTAAGACCTGGACCCAGGACGGATTTACATTTTTGTTTTGAGGTCCCCAGAGGCCAAAAACACCATCCGTTAGAATTCAAATATATATATATACTAGCTGACCCGGCGAACTTCGTATCGCCTAAGTTATAGGTTTCCCCTAAGACAGACCGATGGAAAGAAAGTACCGTTACGTTTAATTTTCAAGATGATCTCGTTCGCATCGCTCAATCACGTCCTGGTTGAAGTTCGTTCGCTACGCTCACTCACCTTGGGTTGTAGCTCGTTCGCTGCGCTCACTTGCCTTTAGGTTGGAGCTCGTTCGCTACGCTAACTCGCCTCCAGGTTAGCTCGTTCGCTACGCTCACTCGCCTCCAGGTTGAAGTTCGTTCGCTACGCTCACTCACCTTTTGGTTGCAAATTAGCAGTTGTCATAAATGTAAAAGAAATAATAGTGCTGCACCCTGTTGGTAATCCTTGTAACTTTAATGCTATTGAACATCAAAGAACAGAACCAACTTGTTTAATTGAAACAGCTGTTAAGATTCATTAATTCCATTTCTCATAAGGTTAACATGGGAAACTCCAGAGCCACTGGGGCGGAGCCCTTTTAAGAATTTCGAAACGGGAAATAGTTTACGTCCGATTCGCATACCTACAGAATTTACACACCAAATTTCATTACGATCGGTGAAGTCGTTCCGGAGGAGTTTGCAGACAAACACTGTGACACGAGAATTTTATATATTAGATATGTGTGTGTGAGTGTGTGTGTGTCTCTGTTAGCACGATAACCCGAGCAAAGATGATCCCATTTTGATGAAATTTTCTATAAACGTGTAAACCTAAATTTATTCAAATGGGTTCGCGAATCAGCATGATCAGACTATGGGAATGGGGTTCTATGGTGTAAAAATTTGTTTTTCCCATTAGCCTAGCCCAGGGTTGCCACCCTGATGGCGACCCCGATATTTATTGTTTAGGGAATTTATTGAGTGATTTATTGTTAGGGGAAAATCGGGACATGCCCCCCTCCATATGGATTAACATAGGCTTAAATAAGGGCATAAGAAACCAAAGTCGGGATTGTCCCGACAGAATCGGGACGGGTGGCAACCCTGGCCTAACCTGCTTGTCTATGGACATTTTTTTTATGACATTTGGATAATTTATTTACTTCATACTAAGATATCAATATTTCAATAAAAAAACACTTCTAATTATCTTCCTTGTATTAGCAAACTCATTCAAATAAATAATATATTAATAGGAAATAAATCTGACAATTTTAAAGGAATAATTTATCGGAGTTCATGCCAGGTAAATGGAAATTCATTTTGTCTGCAGGTTTGCACACGGTAACCAGGTTTGTAAACACATCAAGTATTGTTGTAAGACGATTTTTATCATATCTGTACCGGTATGTAAAATGTTTTTACTACAAGACGACAAATGATTTTCTTTTGTTAGAGTTAAAAATGTCTTTGTTGAACCTTCAGTTATTTTTTTATAAGATAATTAATAGCATTTTAGCATTACATAAAACATAATAGCTATTACAAAACAGTCTACTTTGATGGTTGTTGAAAGTCTCCTGTGCATTTAAAGAAAGTGTCATTTTACAGATTATGTAATATTGAAAAACCGTAAAGTTATGGGGTCCTTGCAACACCACCGAATAGAACAGAGAGCAGTTGCTACCACTCCTAGGAAACTGTTGATAGAGGAGGTGAAGACGGAGTTTACCAAAGACAAGCCTAGGTTCAGGATCATCAGGGAACCACCTGTAGGCATCCCAGAAGTTCTCACTGTACAAGTTCACATCAAAGATGCTGTAAGTATTTGCAGATTCAAATTACGAGGTGTTAAAGAATTGTATTTCTAGTTGTAATTGCTAGAGTGAGATTTTTGTATGACAAAAATTAGCACAAGCAATTGAAGTGATTTCATACGGTATGTTTTTTTGGTAATATATGGATGGATTGTGACTGTTATGCTGGCTTGAGATATTTTAAAATACTTAAATAACATGGGAAAATGATAGAAGCTTAAAATATAGCTTGCTTTGAAACATATGTTTTAAAAGTAACTAGAGGACCCATGCTGCTCCGCAGTGTTAAACTAAAAATATAATATGCAAGAACTAATCAAATTTATGGTTTTTGATGACCTATACAGTATCTTGATACTGATTCAAACGATCAATAGCTCAATTTAAAGCCTATAACTTAATTACTGATTATTTTGAGTCTAAAACATACATGAACAATACTGGAGCTATTGATTTTTAGTCATAGAAAAACCTTATGAAAAATAATGTTTATGTTGGTTGTTCTCCTTGCGTTTGCTTGAAACTCGTCCGATTTGAATAACTAATACAGTAGCTTAAATGAATGCAGGGTTTTCACTGAAGGTCCTTAGACGAAAATATATAGGATTGTATAATTATAACTGGTGAAATACATCTTAAATTGAAGTAAGAATTCGAAAATGAATCAAATTATGTTTTTCGGTCAAATAATACAGCAGGTAAATATATGCCGATGCACTTACTTCGATGGCCGATGATTGATGTGAAATCTTTGTGTGTATGCCTTCAATTTAAGACCCCAATCATGAAAATCGGTTGGGTAGAAGAGCCAAACACATTCGGAAAAGAGAAACCAAATTTAACTCCCATAAGAAATAAATGGGGATAAAATGTTGTTGACGTATAAGCCAAATGGGGTAATAGATACATTTATGCCGATGCTTGATGACAAATCTGTGTGTGCTTACCTTCAATTTGAGACCTCAATCATGAAAATCGGTCGGGTAGAAGAGCCAAACGAACTCGGTAAAGAGAAACCAAATTTAAGTCCGATAAGAAACATGGGGAGCAAATTTTGTTGACGGATAAGGCGAGTGGGATTATAGATAAATATATGTCAATGCTTGATGGCAAATCTGTGCGTACATACCTTCAATTTGAGACCTCAGGTCGGGTAGTAGAGCCAAACAAACTCGGCAAAGAAAAACCAAATTTAACTCCCATAAGAAATACATGGGGAGCAAATTTCATTTACGCATACTCCGAGTGGAATTATAGATACATTTATGCCGATTCTTAATGGCAAATCTGTGCGTACATACCTTCAATTTGAGACCTCAGGTCGGGTAGTAGAGCCAAACAAACTCGGCAAAGAAAAACCAAATTTAACTCCCATACGAAATACATGGGGAGCAAATTTCGTTTACTTATATGCCGAGTGGGATGATGGCAAATCTGTGCGTGCATACCTTAAATTCAAGACCTCAATAATGAAAATCGGTCGGGTAGAAAAGCCAAACGAACTCGGCAAAGAAAAACCAAATTTAACTCCCATAAGAAATACATGGGGAGCAAATTTCATTTACGCATACTCCGAGTGGAATCATAGATACATTTATGCCGATTCTTAATGGCAAATCTGTGCGTGCATACATTCAATTCGAGTCCTCAATCATGAAAATCGGTCGGGTAGAAGAGCCAAACGAGCTCGGAAAAGAAAAACCAAATTTTTTTAATATATAAGATTTATCTATAAACTAAACTTACAGTGTACCATGTTGTTTTCTATTATGCAAAGTGAAACAGAATTATCGGGTGCAACCTAATTCAAAAACTATTTTTTAAATCTTAAAAAACTTAAGAGTTGTATTTATTGTACCATAATGAACATCATGAACCTTTATTTGCTGGATAAGATTCTGACTATACCTTCACTTTTTACATGAAAAATTAAGGTGGATCTGAGCAGTAATTTCCAGGACACTCTAAAATAATTTGCTCATTAAAATCATAGATTAAGAGGCGGCAGGAGTCAACCACCACGCTACTGGCAGGGCCTGCTATTTAACATGGGACTAATTTACTTTTCACTTAACTGCAATTAAACGATTGCGTATTTGGCATGGATCAAAAAGTAGTATTAAAAAGCATAACTTAACCGACGTGTAGCATGCAAAAACATTAAAAAAAAAAATTTTTTTAATTTGTTTTTGTTGAAATAAAAAATATTATTTTCCATAAGGATTTGACAGAACTAGTTCAATGTTACAGTAGGTAAACGTTATCGTAAAATTGTGAAATTTGGCTTACAAGTAACCTTATATATTCAGTCTTAAAACTACTTTTTAGTTTTCTTGAAAAGTGAATTGGTTTCAATGTTTTTCGTTGTTTTAAAATAACTCTACAACTGCAACCCCCTCACGCGCAGCGCGGGGCGGCGTAACAGTTCAGCGTTCTCCACACAGATAGCACTAGCGTCGATGTGAAAGAAAAGGCGCGCAAAATACAAATTTTAGTATAAACCCACACTTAGCAAAGTCTACATCGGAAGATCAACAATTTTGGCAGTGTCAGTATTATTGAGTTGTTTCTATCAAACCGTGATGGGTCATCTGAAGAAGTTCCCGTCGAGGACGAAAAAGCGGAAGCTGCCTTCCTATTTAAAAAAATACTTTGATGATAAGAAGTAAGTATGCATAATATTTAGTCTTGATTTTAGAATATGCCTGGATACTATATAGGAGACTTATTGTGGTATTAGTACTGTAATTCAAAAAAATAATTATGTGCAATTCAATTAACTTCACTGTGACTTAAGAGGGACTTTTAAATGAGGCCTACAATAATTTGTAGTAGGTATTTACTGTCCAAACTTAAAAAAACCTATATTTTTTGTCAGTTTGACGTTTGACGCATTAGCATTGTACCATCATATCTCTTGTATTTTCAGGAAAGAACCAAGTCACGATGGGGAGAAAGACGCAACAGAAACTTCTCACGTCTCAATGCTGTGTGGTCGTAGAATAGTGACAATTAAAGATATTTTCGATCAAGTGAAAGAATTAGATAATCATAGTCCTACAGGTTGTAGTTTCAAAGATTTGACATTTTTGCGGGAAAAGAGAGTTGGACTGAAGAGTGGTTTTGTATTTAAATGTTCCATGTGCAACATAACAAAGGTTATTTGGTCAGAAACAAAGAAAAATGATTTGATGGATGTAAATACAAGTGCTGTTAGTGGAACTATGGCAACAGGTGGGGGCCATGCTCAATTAGAGGAAGTTTTTTCCACAATGGACATTCCCCCGATGAGCAACAAAACCTTTAAGAAAATAGAGGACAAGGTAAATATAAATTATTTTAGGGAAACATTTACTGTATGTCCACTTATTTGCTTTGGATATAACGTAAGTTAAAAAGTTTAACCAATCCTTTATCCAATATCATATAATTCATTTCACGGCTGTTTGTTTATCACTATTATTAACTTTATTTGATGTAAAATTATTATTATTATTCAAGATTTGCCATTTGCTACAATAACGTCGTATATTGGAGACCGTTACTAAGTTGTAGTTATTATTTTTTTTTTATATATGTACAATAGTTAATATTTAATTATATAACTACCTTTTAGGTAATCTCGGAGTTGGTAGCTACAGCTGAGTGTGAAATGAAAGAAGCAGCACAGGAAGAAGCAAGACACGCAGTAGAAAATGGAGAGGTTGACGAAGATGGCACGCCGCTTCTCACTGTCGTTGCTGATGGCAGCTGGTGCAAAAGGTCCTACAGATCTAATTACTCGTCACTGTCAGGAGTGGTAAGTAGGTTTGACCCCCCGTCTGGGCAAACAAATGTTGTGCTAGTTTTTTTAGAATTTTTTTACGAAATATTTAATCAATTTACTCAACTAATAATTACCGTAAGCTTTTCATACAAAATCTTTTATTATTTTGTGTTAAATTAAACGGTTGGTTGGATATCAGTTTTGTTATGGTTAGTTAGCCATCAGCAGGGACGTAACTAGGGGGGGGGGGGGGTGAATGATAAATGCTATATAACTGTTATTTTACTGTTTACGAATCATAACGGTACGTATGAACTTGTACGGTGCGAGAATGAGGATAAGCATACTGCGTTATCTGTCTGTCGTCGATGAGTCACTAGGACGGCGCCGGCGCGGCGTCAAAACACTTCCACACCCCTCCCGAAACCCACCTACCCCTCCGCACACCATCCCTCACACCAGTCACCACGCACACACACACACACACATACTACAAACACAACACTAGCAATACTAGTAATATTATTAGTTACTAGCAATATTATTTTCGTGAATCATTTCGTTTTCAAATAAAATATTTGTCTTTGAAAATACGAACCATATTGCATTCAATTATTTACCACCTATACAGTATCTAGGCCTTAATACTTTGTACTTGGGGTTAAGCATTTTAAGATCTAAATACTGTTGTATTAATGTATTGCACCGATGGACACACCACACATTTTTTAAGAAGATTTGTAAGGAATTGGGTTCAGTCCAATTGAAGGGGGGGCGCCAAAATAGGTGTTTGCCCCGGGTACTGAATAGCCTAGTTACGTCCCTGGCCATCAGTATTTTTGGATGGTTGGGCCATTGTTGGAGAATGGTTGGTTGGAAAACAGTTCAAAGTGATGGCATTTCTACCGTTGGCCAACTGTGTGGCTCCACAATTTACCAACGTTGGCCCAACCATCTGTGCTACATGGGCTTGCGAATAATCACCTTTCACTCCATCACATCAAATTGGGTGTGACAGGTTTATTGCTACGAGGGTATTTATCTGTTCTCAAAAGAAAATAATTCTCTATTATAAAAAATTGGCAACTAACGCGTGTATGTAATGTGTACTACTAAGGTTTTTATTTACAGGCGGCTATTGTCGGCCACAATACAAAAAAGGTGCTGTACATGGGAGTGAAGAATAAATATTGCACTCCATGCTCCCGAGCTGCATCTTTAGGAAAGGAGCCAACAG